TAAGATCAATATATAACTAAGATAGCTGTATAGTTTGATGAAAATCCAAGTTGATTTGAAAAAGTTATAAAAATAATTAAAGATGACTATCTGAATTTCATCAAATTTTTTTTTACCTATTAATTTAATTCTTTAATTTCACAGCAATGAACCAAACTACCAAAAAAACTGAAATTTTGATAGATCTATATTTAATTTAGTTAGATGGGCTGATTTACACCATATGTTACTTGTTTGTTCCTCAATTAATGTTGTATATTTTGTTGTAATTAAATTTGTATAGACTATTTTCTACATTCATACATATGCCATAACAATATTGCTGTCCTATCAGTGCTGAAAACTACAAAAGTAGAAGTCCTATCAAAAATTAAGTTAAAAAAATGTGTGTCCTACTGTGTTTTGCACCGGTCCCAACCCCTCAATAAATATTGACCGGTCCCTAAATCTTGAAAATTAATTTGGTATGTTATAACTGTTAAATTCACATTGCTAGATGTTCATGATGTTATTTTTGTTTGTTATAGATTTATCAAATAATTTTTTTTTCATATACAGACATTGTTTCAAAAAGTTCATGTCCCATGCTTGCCAATAATGAAAAAACATTGAGTCCCATTCCTGTAAACACTGCAAAAAGTGCTTGTCCCATTACAGTTTGCACCGGTCCCATGCATCAAGAAATTTTGACCGGTCCCTAATAACAAAGTTTTTAACAGGACATCAGTCACTGTTAATGGTTAATTTAATAGGAATCACTTGATGTAGATAAATTTCATTTGTATATTTAGGCAAGAAAATCTGGATAGTTATATCGTCTTACTATCTGAAAGAATTGTTAAAAGAGCATCTATTAACAGTTGATGCTCAGTCTTTAGTTTTCCGTGTAGTGATGTGTATACAGCTGATGCTAAGTCTTTAGTTTACCGTGTAGTGATTTGTATACAGTTGATGCTCAGTCTTTAGTTTACTGTGTAGTGATTTGCATACAGTTGATGCTCAGTCTTTAGTTTCCCGTGTAGCGATTTGTATATAGTTGATGCTCAGTCTTTAGTTTATCGTGTAGTGATTTGTATACCGTTGATGTTCAGTCTTTAGTTTACCGTGTAGTGACTTGTATACCGTTGATGCTCAGTCTTTAGTTTACCGTGTAGTGATTTGTATACAGTTAATGCTCAGTCTTTTGTTTACCGTGTAGTGATTTGTATACAGTTAATGCTCAGTCTTTAGTTAACCGTGTAGTGATTTGTATACCGTTGATGCTCAGTCTTTAGTTTACCGTGTAGTGATTTGTATACAGTTGATGCTAAGTCTTTAGTTTACCGTGTAGTGATTTGTATACCGTTGTTTGTCTTGTCGTCTCTTTTCTTTTTTTGCCATGGCGTTGTTATTTTCCATTTATAAGTTTGAATAATCTTTGCTATCTTTTGCCTTTCTTTTAAGTAGAGTTTCGCGAGGTCTTCAAAAAGTTGTATAATCAAATGTGTTCCATAGTTGTTATGGAATAAATCTGAAAAAGAGGGTACAATTACTTCCATTAGAATACCTATCATTTGAAGGTAAACTTGTTGTATGATGAAAAAAGGTAGTCTTTGATCATTTCTTAACATGTCCATAGAGTGTATTTGTATGCCCCACCTAGGGGCATTATGTTTTTCGGTCTGTGCGTTCGTTCGTTCGTTCGTTCGTCCGTTCGTCCGTCCGTCCGTCCGTCTGTCCCGCTTCAGGTTAAAGTTTTTGGTCATTGTAGTTTTTGATGAAGTTGAAGTCCAATCAACTTGAAACTTAGTACACATGTTCCCTATGATATGATCTTTCTCATTTTAATGCCAAATTAGAGTTTTGACCCCCCAATTTCACGGTCCACTGAACATAGAAAATGATAGTGCGAGTGGGCAGGTTAAAGTTTTTGGTCAAGGTAGTTTTTGATGAAGTTGAAGTCTAATCAACTTGAAACTTAGTACACATGTTCCCTATGATATGATATTTCTAATTTTAATGCCAAATTAGAGTTTTGACCCCAATTTCCACTGAACATAGAAAATGATAGTGCGAGTGGGGAATTCGTGTACTATGGACACATTCTTGTTAAAGTATTGTTACTGGAATAAGGAATTGTAACGACTACAATTGATACAGTTACATATATAACCACTTTGATACGATGACCATATTGTAAAAAGAAAAGTCTTGTTGATCAGATTGTATGGAAGTGTAGTATACAGAGTAGAGATATCATAACTGTCAACAGAGACGAAATCAGCTTTCAAAGAACATAGCTTATCCTAGATTATTAAAGACTTTTAACTACTAGTATTCAGAAATATTTGATATCGTTCATTTACACTTAACTGCGGCCAAGCTTAGCGAAAGGCCGTGCGACATAATCAGTCAAACAAACTTTATTAGATCAACTCGTTAAGGAACGAGTGTTGTCATTGGTCAATTCAAACCTTCGACCTCAAATAAACTCAGTTAAGCCCCGCCCAAGCACACCTGCTAAAAAAACAAAACACGCGTACTATTTATAAACGATCGAAAGTTGAATGATCACGTACATGATTGTGTACTTGATTATCTCAAGGCGTTCTTAATTATATACATGTGCATGTGAAATTTATTTATATCATAATTGTGTGCAAAAGTTCTAATAAGGTCCTTTTGTTTTAAATTTCATTTTTTTAACAAAGACTCTTAACAGTTTTCACGGCGAAATATATTGAATCCAACTGTATCCTCTCAAGTAGTTCTGGACTAACCCCGTGCACCTTTTCTATCTGTTAAGTTACATCATCATGTGTTTGCAATGAGACCAAATTAGGAAATATGAATGAAATGACTCGAGACCGTAATTAACTACACACATAATTAACCAAATTACACATAATATACTTTACGGTAAATAGGTTTTGTGTTCAATATTCATATTCTATAGTAAGTATATCACAGCCTCCTCCTCGACCCTTAAACTAATCTCGCTTATACTAAACCTTTTTGTATTAATATGACTTTGAAACTACATAGAAATATGAAAATTAAATAACAAATGACAACTTAAATTTACATATCATTTCATGGCTTTTAAAAACAGGGAAGTTTTGGGATTTTATGGATTTGACTTTGGATAGTGTGTTTTTTTCTTCATATTCAGTTTACTCTGGGACATAATATATTTTGTAATATAAAGCCAACTTTGTCATAGTTTTGTAAAAGTTTGGAAAACAAAAAAGTAGAGATACAAAGAGTGGTAAATTAGATACTTATTTCAAACTTAAAACTTGTTTTTCGAAAGAAATGTATCTATCTTTAAACAATTTTCAATTGGGAAGTGCCATATGTAAAATCAGAATCAGTGCACATGATCTCAAAATAGAAAGAGACAGGTATAAAACTTTATATATAGAAAGAGACCAAAGGCTTTGTAAGAAATGTACTCTAAATCTGGTTGAAGATGAACAACATTTTATTACTAGTTGTCCAGCATACAGTAATGATAGGGAGATATTTTTCAAGGAGATAAACTGTATCTGTCCCAATTTTATATATCTTTCAAATGAGGCAAAATTTGTTTGGTTATTTACTAATAAAAATTTGTCTATACTTAAATATTTAGGGAGCTATATTATTACATGTCTAGATGTTAGACGAAATGTTAATTAATGTATGTAATATCAATGATAATTGTAATGATTTTATAGTTCTGATCCTGCCTGGAATTAAATGTATGTGATTTTATAGAATGAAGATAATAACATCTGTCTGAACTTTTTAATGTTTCATTTTAATATATAAAAATGTTTTTCTGTTACAAATCATGATGTATTGTTTTATGTGTACATGTTATGCTGCCCATCAAAGGCCCTTGATTGGAATAATAAATATTCTTATTCTTCTTATTCTATTCTATTTTAGTATAATATATTTTAGTATAATAGTCCCAGGTTAACTTGATTTTGAAAATAAATCCCGAATTCTAAGTAAATTCGGAGCAGGTAACCATGCTTTCTTTAGAGAAAAATGGAGATAGCAAAACACTGGCCACAATGAAAGGAAATGTACTTTACACATGTTTGTAACTCCGGCGATGTAGGTGATGAAAATATTTACATAGATTTACATAGAAAACCAAGTATTATGTCAAAGAACTCGCTGATTGATAATTAAAAACAATCAAATACTCTGCCGCTGGCTAGCCTACTTGTAGGTGAAACAGAAAGCCGAGCGCGTCAGTCTTTCTTGCCAGTACAAAGCCTCTACCAGTCTAAGACCTCTACAGTGCCTCCCAGCACACGGTAACTAGGATTTAGTATCCTAGGCTAAACTGCAGAGGATCTTGGAGTAGCGAGGACCCCAGAGATGCAGTGTGTAGGCCCACCGGTGTGTGGATATGCCCTAACATTCATCAACCTTGTCCCAGCTATGGGTAAATATGATTGTACAAGGAGAAAGCCCAACCCGGGAGGCCTTGGACATTAACTGGAATTCATGGATCCAAAAAAAAGACCATTAAGATTGGCGCGAGGAATGTGAGAACTATCTTCCAGGTCTCAAAAACTGCGCAAGTCATAAGAGAGATGGAAAGGTACAAACTAGGAATATTAGGTATCAGTAAATGCAGGTGGACAGAATCAGGAAAAATTATCACACAGGGTCATACCATCATATACTCCGGCAGAAATGACAACCAACATACAGAAGGAGTGGCAATCATTATGAATAAGGAATGTACAAAGAGCTTGATAGAATGGGAACCTATAAACGAGCGATTGATCAGAGCTCGCTTTAATTCCGGCTATGCCAAGACAACAAATATTCAGTGCTACTCGCCTACAAACGATGCGGAAGAAGAAATTAAAGATGCTTATTATGAAGCTCTTCAGGCTTAGATTAGCAAAACACCACAACATGATTTTCTTCTTATTATAGGAGACCAAAATGCTAAGGTTGGGAAAGTAAATACAGAACATGAAAGAGCTATGGGAAAAGAAGGTCATGGCGTAATGAATGAGAATGGAGAGAGACAGGCAAATATGTGTTCAACTAATGGATTAGTAATTGGAGGAACCCTATTTAAGCATAAAGATATACACAAAATTACCTGGAATTCTCCAAACAACAGGGACAAAAATAAGATTGACCACATTATCATAAATGGCAAATGGAGACGATCATTACTCGATACCCGAGCATTTAGAGGAGCAGATATGAAGAGCGACCATCATTTAGTTATAGTTAAACTCCAACTGAAGCTGAAAAAGGTACCAGACAATAACAAACCTGGGAGAAAGATCACCAATGTCAACCGTCTGAAAGAACCTGAAATCAAACAAAAGTTTGTCATTGAACTCAGGAACAGATTTAGGGTATTAGATGATCTTGATCAAACTGAAGACAGTTCCATTGAAAAGAAATGGGAAAACATCAAAGAGGTGTATCAAAAGACAAGTGAAAAGATCATTGGCTTCCGTAAGAGCAACAATAAACAATGGTTAACATCAGATACATGGAAAGCAATCAATGAAAGAGCAAAACTCAAAGAAAAGGTACTCAGCACTAGATCATCAAGGTTAAAAGAACAAACACAGAAAGAATATGCAGAGAAAGATGATGGGGTAAAGAAAAGAGCTAGAAAAGATAAAAGGAACCATCTGGAAGAACGGGATGAAGAAGCAGAGAAAGCTGCTGCAAGAGGTGATATAAGTACAGTCTATAAGATCACAAAAGAACTATGTGGACAATCCAAACAACCACCTCCAGTTAAAGACCAAAAAGGAAACATCATTACAGCTGAAAGGGAACAGGCTGCACCTTGGGTAGAACACTTCAAGGCTGTTTTGAATAGACCAGAGCCAATAAACGAATTTCAGGGAGCACCCCAACTTGAAGATCTAGATATAAGCACTGACTCACCATCTAAAGAAGAAATAACAAAGGCAATTAAGTTATAGAGAAAGTCCAAGTAACTGTCCATTCCTGGGAAATAATGGAGCGGAGGCCCGGAGGGCCGACGCCCATTATTTCCCAGGAATGGACAGTTATTTGGACTTTCGCTAACTTAAAATACACCTTAAATATTAAGAACGAATTTTAGATCATAAAATTTAAAGAATTTTATTTCATTTTGTAATGGTTTTCTTTTCATTTTCCCTATGGTGTACACAATAATCCACAGGCAAAATTTAAGATCAAGCTGACCATCAACTCACTTAACAAGTATTTATGAACAGTAGAATAATTACTATAAAAAGATCTTGAATAAAGTTCATCCAGATTTGTGTTTTAAGTCATTGGATACGCACGTCTTTCTTGCGGTGGGATTGAAAGGATATTTATTTGTGTCTTTAAGTGTTATTTCGGGAGAGAGAAAAAACTAATATTTATGCATATTATTATATGTTAATGGATTATGTGTTTTTCGTTTGATAAATCTTTGATGTAGAATCGTCTGAGAAAAATGACATGGTACAACTAGAATAAATTTCCAGGTATGTAACACTCTAGTATATGTTATTAAACTAATAAGGGTGTAGTCGATTTGAAGTCGTATCTGAAACAAAATATGATTCTATATTTCAAACCATTCTATTAGATCAAATTATAATCAGAAAGATTGCCTTTTGTATGTCTTTAAATTAAGTGGAAAACTACTTTTTGATTTCGTTTAAACATTTTAAGATTAACGCTGTCATTTGCACTACGAATATAACTGTTATATTTGCTACTGGTCATATAACAACAGTGAAGGAATTAGATTGTGTTACGCGTTTCTGTTGAAAATTGAATAAAAAATCCCGCCCAATAGTTAACACAAGCCTTATTCAAATGTTATCCATACCCTTCAAATTCTGTTCAATAGTACCATATTCAAATTATAACAACGAAAAATCAAATAATATACCGAATACGCCATTTTGAGCATTTTAGTTTCTTGAACTATTTATTTTATTTAACCACAATACTATTGTCGAAACTATCTGAGTAATATTTCTTTTTTAATGTACATATTAAAATGGAACAAAATCAAAATACAACACTTTAAATTTCAAGCAAATAATATCTTACACGGTAAAATTAAAAGCAAATCTGTAAGTGAAATATATTTTCTCTAATTTTCCTTATTGTATAATGTTACTGTGTTCAATATTACGAAAGAATTCAACTGAGTTAACACATTTGATATTTTGTAGATGCACAGAAGAGGACCGGCACTCAATGGAAAATATTCGTTTTTACCCGCTTGGATACTATCCGTGACAGAAATTTAGCCAAGATGTGCATCGGAAAACAAATTGTGGATAATGTTGTGGAATATTAGTGAAAACGATATCATATATTATACGATGGAATTACGACTCGCAAATAAAAGCTGTTTATCAATAATGAGATATTTGGTGTTCATTGTATTACTACGAGGTCATCCCAATTAAAAAAAAAATCTCCATTTAATATCAGCCGTTTAGTAAGTTTTCATCTTCATTCAATATCACGCTACGTCCTTTCGAACTATTTACATGGGTGAACACTTTTTAAGAAAGTGCCAATGGAAATAGCCAAAGGGCAAAACGTCCGGATGAATGAAGATGGACAATAGAAAATAACTCTCCATTCCTGAAAAATAATGGAGAGTTTGAACAAAAGATTTACGTCACAGGTGTATTTTAAATCCATGAAATCAGGAAAGGCAGCAGGCATAGATGGACTTCAAGCTGAACTACTGAAAGCATATATCAACACAGCAACAGTCATACTACATGGTCTCTTCAAAGACATATGGGAAGAAAATAAAACCCCTTAACGAAGAAAGGTGATCTTGGGAATTGTGACTGGAGAGGGATAACATTACTCTCAATCCCAAGTAAAGTGTTTTGCAGAATACTGTTAAACAGGATAGACTGGATGACAGGTTGAGACAGGAACAAGCTGGGTTTAGAAAAGGGAAAGGATGCACTGATCAGATCTTTGCTCTTAAGAACATCATTGAGCAGTGTATAAATTGGAATTAAGACACCTCTATATATCAACTTTATCGATTTCAAGAAAGCATTCGACAGTTTACACAGAGAGACTCTTTGGACAATCCTCATATCATATGGAGTACCACACAAGATTGTAACACTGATATGATCTAAATGTTATAAAATTTAACAAAATATATCAATAATCTGCACATCATGAGCACTTACAGTCAATTCCATTCCATAATAGAAAAACAAAGGATATGGGGTAAGAATATTTCTTAACTGAATGAAATTAACATTTTTTTTTTAATCATCAGGTAGACCATTCAGAAGCTGTATATTTAAAAGAGTTCTTACCATAGGTTGGTGTTCGAACCCTAGGTATATCTACAATATTAGAATATCTAAAATTATATTTACAATCTTGCAATACAATTAAGTCATGTAAACATGGTGGTGACAATTCATATAAGATTTATAAACATCCAATAGCTATGTTACGCAAACGTCTAATTTTCAGTGATGGAACCTTTGCTCGTACAAGTAATTCATTATACGTACTAACATAGTCTTCATATATAAATCGTACAGCACTTTCCTGATATTTTTCTAATTTAGCGGTATTATTTTTGTTACGAAATTGCCATGCCAAAGGACAAAAAAAAAGAAATTAGATAAAACAAATATCTGACAAATGGTCAATTTATTTTATTTTGTAAGATAGCTACCAATGCACTTTAAAACATGAAGATCCGAGGATTGAACCTTTGGGAACACCGGTCTGGATGTCACCCCAAATGCCGAGTACTCCGTACGATCTGTAAGATAATTTTGCAGTGATTTCACTGACTTTGAAGAAAGACCATAGGCGGATAATTTACTTAAAAGAATGTCGTGTGGAAGACAGTCAAAAGCTTTCGAAAGATCCATAAGTGTTGCTGCCACATACATATTTTATCCAAAGCTGTTTTCCAATCTTCAAGGAGTACCAGCAGACTTGTCTTACTTCATGACCTTTTATAAATGCACATAAAAAAGCACGAATTACATTTTCCAAAAAAATCAATTTACTGGTCAGACATAATCATTTCATATACTTTTGAACTTGTTGGTAAAATGCTCACAGGTCGGTTGTCCTTTTTATCAAATGGATCGTTCTTTTTGTGTAGTGGTACGACCTGAGCTTCTTTAAGTCTGTTTTGAAATTCACTTGATTCTTTATCAAGTGGATCGTTCTTTTTGTGTAGTGGTACGACCTGAGCTTCTTTAAGTCTGTTTGGAAATTCACTTGATTCTTTATTAAGTGGATCGTTCTTTTTGTGTAGTGGTACGACCTGAGCTTTTTTTAAGTCTGTTTGGAAATTCACTTGATTCTATTGTATTATTTATAAGTGATGTTATATGTTACATTGTGTTATTGTTACGTTAATGCACTCCAATGTATGCTGGGACTAGTAATATCTGGGTACATATATATGTTCCTGGTAATAATGTATTAAAAAAAAAACTTGGAAACTTTTAATTGAATTTTACAATATATGCATACAGTTCTTAATTTTTATTTACAATGGCAGTTTCTGCACATCCAGTATGTTGTTTTAGGGGAATGTTTCAATCCGACGCATTTTTGTGAAACCACTCTAGGCAGCCATCACAAAGTTGAAACGAGAGATGCAGTCATGTGCACGTCGGTTTTGCAGAGTTTACAACTCCACTCTGCAACATCCATTTTTGAAGTTATAGAAACTTTCAATGTCTGCCATTCTTCAGGTGAAAAATGTTTCTTAACATCGAACCATTAAACTATATTTTTTAATAAGAATGATAATAATTAATAATATTATTATTACTATTATTATCAAGTACATATCGAAAAATTAAGCAACAAAACTATAGAAGGTTAAAGAAGGTTAATAAATCTAACGTAACAATAACACAATGTAAACGTAGACACGAATATTATTGTTACATTCGTAATTAATCAGTTCCTTACCCAACCCTGCATTCCGGCAATTAGTCTCCAATGTAACAATAACTTTTTTTTTATTATTGTTACATTTCAATGTAACCGTAGCCAGTGCCTATACAGTTTTGCCCGCTAACCCCTACTTTTCTTTTCATATTTTATTAGATCTTATTACATATAGTTTAATAAGCCATATTTGAAAATCTTATAAAATCCTTCTTATTTTTTCATAGTTTTTAAAAGAAAAAAGCGGCCAATATTAAGTATGAAAATTCTAGATCGAGAGACTCATTTCGCGTCAAATTTTCAATAGCTTATATATCTCGAAAACAAGCACACGGACCCATAATTTTTTCTGCACTTTTAGTTCCTTTATTAATATTCTTTTAATTTATAACAGTATTTTAAAAAGCTTGTTATTTTGAAACAGAGTATCAAACATCCTTAACAAAACTTTAATGTCACTGCAAACTCGAAACAACTATTAGAAAAAGAGCAATATGGTAGAAAAACATTCATTTGACTTTCAATGATTTAGCCTTCGCTTGCAAGGGGCGGACCCAGGATTTTTATAATTCCATATAACTGAAGAAAATCGTCGAGCGTAGCGAGTCGAGGATTTTTTTGAACGATTTTATGCTAAAAAATAATAATAATTTCAAATCATGGCAAAAGAGGGGGATCGTAGCCTGAATCCGCCACTGTTTGCAGCAGCAAATAGGTTGAATGTATACTTCGAACATCAGTATAAGTTATTGATATTTTACAATGTTATCCCGGCAATATATATACATATACAAACAAATGGAAATATGATAAATAAAAGCTACTCGCACGAAAATGATTTCATGAATTTAGCAACACCTGTATCATCTACACGCATTGTTTTCCGCTCTCCGCGGGAAACAAATCCACAATTTGACTATTTAACTATTGAAGTACTTGATTTATTGTTTAAATTGAAAGATTTAGTCATAAACTAGATACAAAAATATGAAAACTTCACTCAAACTAATGCATAAGTGTAAAGCAATTTATGATTGCAACTGCAGTTCTAAAAATAGAAAAAGGAAGTAAGTATTTAAAAGCGAAACCGAAAACTGGATTTCCCCTAGAAAATTTCCAGACAACGCAAGAACTTTTTTAGTTTTGGTTTGATCTTTTGGCACTTTACCTCGATGCATTGTAAGATTTCAGTATGTAAATGAAATTTGTATGTCCATTATTATAAACACATTTATGATCGTATAATTATTTACGTTGGACGTCCATGACGTCTGTAAAGTGTGATATAATTAAACTTATTAAATATTGATAATCTAAATACAATCTCCTCATCTGATAATGAGTAGCAGTTCCTTTATAATATTTATGGATGACAACTTGATATTCTGGCCTAATATAAAATTATATTAATTATAGAAAATAAATAACTGCCCATGATATTGATAGGATGAAAATGAATATTCTGCTCAACAAAATGCAGGACAATGCAGAAATTAGTGGTGTACAAGAGTAAAAATGTTTCCTCCATACCATTACCCTGACATTTCCAAGTTATCTCAGCTGGATTACACAGTAAAACACAATCTGATCAAAATACAGGTTCTGTGTTGACATTTTGATTGCAAACATTGTAAGAAAAGTGTGGATACAGGGTCTGTATTTTAATTAGATTGAGTAGTATTGAAAATTTTACAAAGTGGAATGACCATTATTATTCAAATGTTACTTTTTTTCAAATCAAAAGATGAATGATCAGTGCTTGCTAAAATGATGTCTAATGTTTACATCATTTTACATGCCAGATTTTTTTAATGAAGGATCATCAATATTTGTACTATTCATTAACGCATTTATGAATTAACTTCAATCAGAGAGGGATAGTTATAAAAATTCTAATCAGGATTTACTGCTAAACTAAACAGCTATGCTGGCCAAAGCAGATTGTATAAAATATTTTTAAAGTTTTTTTTTATTAATATAGATTACCAATTGTACTGCATGTACTGTGTAAATTCATCATGTTCATTGGTCATATGTAATTTTTAAATTATTTTTTATTCTTAGAACTTTTTTTTAAAGTATATTAATTATCATGATAAAATGACTAGCAAATTTTAAGTTTTGTGTGTTGACCCAATTCACAAATTTTGCATGTATAAATGCTGAAAACCTTTTTTTCAGGGATGGGGGGCTTCATCTTCAGGAACCCCCTTCCTAGGGACCTTAAGGGGCCCCCTGCTGCAATTTGCGCTGAAAGTTCCTTTAATACTTAGCCATGTTAGCTATGCCCCTGATTGCATTGTGAGAAATGTCTTGGATAAGTGCAAAAATACAGTACACACTTGGACATAGTCAAATAAATCATCAGCATCCTCTATGTCTGACATTGGATGTCAGGCTTTTAATGAGGGTTATAAACCATGGACTGCTAGGGAAGTTAAATATTCGTACCTGTTTATCATTATGTAAGCAATGATCAACTATATTTAAAGAAGTTATGACACTTTTAAATATTGATTATATGGAATATTGCATTTTAAGCACTCTCACACCAACATTTTACATCAAAGATTTATATCAGCATTGTCTAAAAAGAGTTTAAAAAATAGGGCGCTGATCAATAATTTTTACAGAAGTTATGTCCCTTTGAAATATATGGAACATTGCATTGTAAGCAGTCTCACATCTTCATTTCTTGTCTGATGTAAGATGTATTTAAAGGTTCATAATAGGAAGGTCTTGGAACATTGCCAACAATAACTTTTACAGGACTTATTTCCCTTGGAGATAAAAATTATATTGGAAAATAACATTATTAGCAATCTCATGTTTACTTTTCTACAAATGTAGTAGGATATTTATGGAAAAGTTTTTAAAAGAATGAGTTATTGCCCGTGGACGGATTGAAATATATGAAACTGTGGGAAAAATTTCTTTTGTTAGGTATAGATCAATCAAGTAGAAGTTCTAAAGCATAGTTAAACCAGGAAAAACACATATGGGACAACCTTTGGTGTTCAATAATTGTAAACAATCACATGATGTTGAATGTATTTGGTTATACATGTGTACCTCCTTATATTATTTCTGTGATGTGTAGTCTGTAACTAGTTGAGTATGTGGCTACGTTAACTGATTCATTTACAACCATTATGACCATAGTTTGTGTGGAATGGAAACTATTTTATATAAAACAGTACCTGTAGGTTTTTTAAAACAACTGTTTTCATAATCTGTATATATGTATAATTAATTAACTGCTAGAAATGAATATATGGCCTCCATTTTTGTAGAAAAAGAGTTTAAGATAAATGACGTTTGATTATGGGAGATCAGCCATCAAAAGAGGGACATCAAGGTAAAGTACAGGCTTCTATTAGTACATGTACATACAGTACTGTAAGATTTAGAATATGAAACATTATAAAAGAAATAAATTAGTAGTAGTAGTTTGTATTTTCAGCTTTTTTTACATGTTAAATCAAATTATTGCGACTGCAAAAATTTTATGAAGGAAAATGACAACAATTATTGCAAAGTTGATAATGTCCCATTTTTGCTTTAATAGAAACATCACAATAATTATCCTATAATTTGATTATGATACTAGTAATAGAATTATTGACACGATGGGTTTTAAGATAAATTTATTATTTATGATATTGGTAGGTTTAGTTAAATCAGAAGAGCATCCTGAAGAGAATGTACCTCATCCACACAAACATAATTATCACAGAGGAAATGTGTATGGAAATTCTATACCTAATGGCAATGTGTTTGACTCTGGTGGTGAATCAGATGCACAAAGTAGTTCATCTAGTTCTGGAGCAAGACCTAAGTATACTGGCTTTATGTCACCAAGGGATTCAATTACTGATAACCATATAGGTTCACAGTCAAAAAACATGTCACGGTTTTCTGAATCAGTACCAGACCTGGCTGGAATAAGTGCTAAAAATGACTTGAGTAGGATAAGGGATGTCAGAGAAGGGTATACGAGTAGAGATGACAATTTTACAGCCAAGAGAAATAGTTTTAGGTCAAACGAGGACTTCATTGGACATAGAAGTGATATTAACCAAAACAGACACATGGGTGTTATGGAATCAAATGTTCCTTTAAGAAAACCACAACATTCACAATCTCTTAGGAAACAAAACATTACCACACCAAAATCATCACAAAGGGGACATACACCAGTGTTTCCTCATACAAATGTTGATGCCAGTAAGGCAGGATTATTTGGATCACAGCAAGTTTTTTCAAACTCTGCCTCTGTTAGAAACCATAAAAGACAGTATATGGTAGAACAGAAACCTGATGGGGAACAGTATAGAGACCGTCAGAAACCAAAAGTGAATTCTTCAAGTGTTAGCGTGAATAATATAAGTGTTCAAGATGCTTGGAGTCAGGTAATGTAATTAATATTAATATACATATATACATAGCAAACAGGGAAACAGCGATATATGTGGTTATAATATGCCAAAAAGTTGACAGGAGATTTCCTAGTGATTTAGATAAATAATGCTTCAATTTCAATTTAGCATTGCATTTAATGATTTTGTTTCTAAAATGGCATTTTAGAAATTTTCCAAGTTCAAAGGGGCAAGCTGAAGTTGATAAAAAATGTTGAAACCAGATAAAGTGCTGATTGTAACATGTATAAACAACATTGTTCCATTTGAATTGACTTAACAAAGGAGTACATGTTTATAATACTTCGATGTCACTTACTTCAGTTGTTTTTGCTTGCTGCTATTAATAATGTTCAACAAGATCTGCAGCTTATGTTTTCAAACCATTAGATAAAAGTTGGTCCTATCAAATTTTTGTAATGTTTTAGTCAGCAAACTGCAATTGCAACCCTCCCCTCCTTTGCTTTATATCCAAATACATGGATATACATTGTAGTATGTCAGGACTTCTGGTGTGTCAGAGTTATTGCTAGGTAAACTGTACCCAGAAGTTTAATTGTATGTGTTGTTGTGTGATGAACAGGATTTTACATATCATTCAATATTAATATGATAAAGAAGATGTAGAATAATACATAAACAGGGTTAACAGACATTGCACCAGCACAACACTCGCTCATATCAACCACTAACATAAATACCAGCACAACACTCGCTCACATCAACCACTAACATAAATACCAGCACAACACTCGCTCACATCAACCACTAACATAAATACCAGCACAACACTCGCTCACATCAACCACTAACATAAATACCAGCACAACACTCGCTCACATCAACCACTAACATAAATACCAGCACAACACTCTCTCACATCAACCACTAACATAAATACCAGCACAACACTTGCTCACATCAACCACTCACATAAATACCAGCACAACACTCGCTCACATCAACCACTAACGTAAATACCAGCACAACACTTGCTCACATCAACCACTAACATAAATACCAGCACAACACTTGCTCACATCAACCACTAACGTAAATACCAGCACAACACTTGCTCACATCAACCACTAACATAAATACCAACACAACACTTGCTCACATCAACCACTAACATAAATACCAGCACAACACTTGCTCACATCAACCACTAACGTAAATACCAGCACAACACTCGCTCACATCAACCACTAACATAAATACCAGCACAACACTTGCTCACATCAACCACTAACGTAAATACCAGCACAACACTTGCTTACATCAACCACTAACGTAAATACCAGCACAACACTCGCTCACATCAACCACTAACATAAATACCAGCACAACACTCGCTCACATCAACCACTAACATAAATACCAGCACAACACTCGCTCACATCAACCACTAACATAAATACCAGCACAACACTCGCTCACATCAATACCTGACTCCTCCAAGAAAACAAACAGTATATATATCAGTGTGACAGCAACCCAGCGATACCATACAATAAGTCATCTTTAAGGAGGTAAATGTGTATTCTCCAATAAAAGTATGCACATTGTTTATTTTCAGTTTGATTAATATTTAGGAATGTAATGTTATGTTTTTTTTATTATATCCAGCAATTCTTTATTTTTCATCACCAAAATAATCTATAATGTCATGAATGTATAACCTTTTTATAGTTTCAGCAGATGCAACAATCACTAGAACAGTTACAACATAGTAGTAATGAAATTCTACAGGATCTGGACAATGAAGAAAGGTATCAATAATAGATTTATGATAACTAAAAGGAAACATAGGTATATGTCAATAAGACAGCAACCTCACAACATAAAAAACGAAAAGACATCTAAAGGACAATAATCAGTCTTCAAAAATAGACAGAACTGTGTCTATACTACTGTAATTTAAAAAAAAAAATTAAACAATGGACAAAAATGAGAGAGTGATTAATATTCATGTACGAAATGCTTCATACAAATTATGCTCTCAAAATTAAATTTTTTTTATTACTTTACTTGATTTATTTATTAATTTTCTTAACCATTTTATTATGTTCCAGCCGCTTGGTGACAGGGGCATTAAGGGTTACCCTTGTCTGTCTGTCAGTCTGACAGATCATGTTCAAATTTGGGTGGCGTCACTTTTACAGTTCTCCCTTTATAAAAAAGAAAAATTGCTCAATTGACGTATTTTTACAAGCTGGGCTATGGACACATTCTTTTTATATTTTCAATTATTTATTTCTATCTTCTTTTTCTTTTTATAACAAAACTTTTTATAAAAACCTAAAAAAGTGTCAAAATATTAGTCACAGTTTTCACAATAATCATGATAATTAAAACATTCTAATGATTTCAGTATTTACAGTATATGTCAAACTCTAAAATTGTCCCGAGTCTACTAAAGTTGAGAAATTTTTTTGCGGTATTATCAAAAGACAACCACTGACAAAATTGTGGAATTTAGACAGACATATGAACAGGGTTAAGGGCATACCAAACAGTTTTGATCCCACTGTGAATTTTTGACAAAATCTTGCATACAAGCTATTTTTCACCTAATTAATTGAAATATGTAATAAAAAAATATGCCTTCATGTGCTACCTTAAGAGATAAATGGGTTTCGAAATTTTAGATGTCTACTCAAATTTCAATTTCTTGGAAATTTCTATCCTTTGGAGAGACATACCTAACTTTTTTGTTTCAAAAGTAAAACAAGCAGATTTTTGTAAAAGCATTTGGAATATATTCTTTACATAAGTATGCTCTAAATTTGTGTACTTTTTATGCCCCATTTATGGGCATTATGTTTTTCGGTCTGTGCGTCCTTTCGTTTGTTCGTCTGTTCGTTTGTCTGTCCGTCTGTCTGTCCCGCTTCAGGTTAAAGTTTTTGGTTAAAATTTTTGGTTAAAGTTTTTGGTCAAGGTAGTTTTTGATGAAGTTGAAGTCCAATCAACTTGAAACTTAATACACATGTTCCCTATGATATGATCTTTCTAATTTTAATGCCAAATTGGAGTTTTGACCCCAATTTCACGGTCCACTGAACATAGAAAATGATAGTGCGAGTGTGGCATCCGTGTACTATGGACACATTCTTGTTTTACTGTATATTTATCCAATTTTTAAAAAATTCATAAATTTAAAAATTGGTACAAATAATCTTCATATTTATTGAAGCCAAATATCATTTTTAGCTCACCTGGCCTAAAAGGCCAAGTGAGCTTTTCTCATAACTTGGCGTCTGTTGTCGTCGTCCGTCATCATTGACGTTAACTTTTACAAAAATCTTCTCTGCAACTACAAGGCCAAAATAAGTAAAACTTAACCACAATCATCATTGGGGTATCTAGTTTGAAAAATGTGTCCGATGACCTTGCCTGCCAACCAAGATGGCCAACATGGCTTAAAATAGAACATAGGGGCAAAATGCAAGTTTTGTCTATTATTTTGAAAACTGTTATAAATAGAGAAAATCAGACATGAGCATAAATATTCAGAATGTTGAGCTCTACCAATTGTCTATATACTCCAAAACTGTCAGATGACTTCTAATAAGAGTTATTTCCCTTAAATGACAAATTTTACCTTTTTTTAGCTCACCCTTCCAAAGGAATGTGAGCTTTTGCCATCACTTGGCGTCCTTCGTCGTCCGTCCGGTGTAAACTATTTCAAACATCTTCTCCTCTGAAACTGCTGAACCAATTCCAACCAAACTTAAGCTGAATGATTCTTAGGGTATCTAGAATAAAGTTTGTGTTTTATTTTCTGTTTCGTCAAAAAACATGGCCGCCATAGCTAAAAATAGAACATAGGGGTAAAATGCAGTTTTTGGCTTATATCTCAAAAACTAAAGCATTTAGAGCAAATCTGATGTGGGGGTAAATATGTTTATTAGGTCAAGTTCTATCAGCCCTGAAATTTTCAGATGAATCTAACAACCCATTGTTGGGTTGCTGCCACTAAATTGGTAATTTTAAGGAAATTTGGCAGTTTTTGGTTATTATCTTGAATATTATTATAGATAAAGATAAACTGTAAACAGCAAAAATGTTCAGCAAAGTATGATCTACAAATAATTTTTTAAGACCAAAATTGTCAATTGACCCCATAAGGAATAATTGCCCTTTAAGGACAATTTTACACAATTTGTTTATCATGTTTTCTAACTTTAAAAAATCTTCTCCTCTGAAACTACTGAACCAAATTAAACCAATTTAAGCTGAATGATTCTTAGGTTATCTAGAATAAAGTTTGTGTTTTATTTTCTGTTTCCTCAGAAAACATGGCCACCATGGCTAAAAATAGAACATAGGGTAAAGTGCAGTTTTTGACTTATATCTCAAAAACTAAAGCATTTAGAGCAAATCAGACAAGAAGTTAAAGTATTCATTAGGTCAAGGTCTACCTGCCCTGAAATTATCAGCCAAATCGTGTATATGATTTTTAGGTTATTGCCACCGAATTGATGATTTTAAGGAAATTTTGCAGTTTTCGGTTATTATCTTGAATATTATTAAATCAAAAATTATCAAACTTGGGCTGAATAAGTTTCAGAGTATCTAGTATAATTTGGTATCTTATTTCCTTGTACGTCAAGAAACATAGCCACTATGGCTAAAATGGAACATAGGGGTAAAATACATTTTTTTGCTTTTGAAGAAAATATGACAGATACAAAGAACATTTAAATGGCATTTTTAAGCCACTCATTAATATATATTGAAAAGCAAAAATAATCATTGATGAAAGATTTAAGCAAAAAATTACAGGTGAGCGATTCAGGCTCTTGAGAGCCTCTTGTTTTTATTTTTGCCTATTATCTTGAAAATATTATAGATAGAGAGAAATTTTAATTGCAAAAATGATCAGCAAGATAAGTTCTACAAATTAGTTTACATGGTCAAAATCGTCAGTCGACTCCTTATTAGAGTTATTGCCATTTGATGACGATTTTTACCAATTTTTTGCGTTTTTGCCTTATATCTTAAAAATTATAATAGATAGATAGAAACTTAAATAAGCAAAAATGATCAGAAAGACAAGATCTACAATTAAGACAATATGGAGGAAATCATCAGACAACTCCTTAATGTAGTTATTGCCCTTTAATGACAATTTTTACCATTTTTTTAGCGTTTTGCCTTATATGATAAAAATTATGATAGATATATAGACACTTTAAATCACAAAAGTTATTAGCAAGATCTACTAACAAGTCAAATTTTGCCTATATAGTTAGTAGACTGTCACTTTTTATAGGAGTGATTGCCCTTAAATGAGGATTTTTTTTACCCTCTTTTGTGTTTTGAGCAAAAACTAAAGAATATAGAGAGAAACTAAACAGATTAAATGATCAGCAATACAAGATCAACAAAACAGAGATTTTGTGATGAATTCTATTCTCGTCTAAAATGCTGGAGAGTGTCCTTTGTTGAATATGCACATAGACTAAGGTGAGCAACACAAGCTCTTTAGAGCCTCTAGTTTAAAAGAGGGGTCCATGTACTCGTCTTCAAGCATAATGGTTAAAATCAGAAAAAAAAGGCATCTTTTTCGACGTGTCACAGTTTGACATCACAAAAATAACATTTTACTTAAGCAATGTCATTATCTCCCCCTGTATTTGTATCATATGCCCTTAAACCATTTTTTCAGTGTTTAACACTGTAGTTACTTCATATCATGTAAAACAATTATGCATATTCAAGTTTATTTTGTATGTTAACCATTCTTGTTTTTACATTTCAGAGAAAATGAAGAATGGATATCTGTTATTAACAAGAAAGCTACAGGTAATCTAAAACTGATTATTCTTGTCTTATATTACAAACCAAACAATGTTTAAATACTTAACTGTACAGATCTTTTTCACTGCTTGTAGGAAAAATTCTGAATGCTTAGATTTGTCTTATAAAACTAAGGAGATTTGTATGATTGCCAATGAGACAACTATCCTTCAGAGACAAATATCATAAAATCCATACAGCATAGTAAGCTACAAAAAGACCTGACAAAAGGTGAAACTATTCAACTAAAAAAAACTAACTGCCTGCCGTAGCAGAGGGGACATTAAGTTTTACCCTTGTCCTTCTGTATGTCTGTACGTCCCAAAATTGGTTTCCGTTCTCTAACTTGAGTTTGCCTCAACAAAATGTTATGAAACTTATACACAATTCTTATTACCACTAAACACAGATCGAGTTTGAATTTTGGTGGCGTCACTTTTACCATTCTAGAGTTATGCCCTTTACAAATGGAAAAATTGCTGAATTTTTCCTTTCCGTTTTCTAACTTTAGTTTGCCTCAACCAAATGTTATGCAACTAATACACAATGCTTATTGCCACTAAACACAGATCAAATTTGAATTTTGGTTGTGTCACTTTTACTGTTCTAGAGTTGTGCCCCTTTACATTTTTCGTTTCCATTCTTTAACGTTAGTTCGTCTCAACCAAATGTTATGAAACTTATACACAATGCTTATTACAACAAAACACAGATCAAGTTTGAATTTTGGTAGCGTCACATTTACCTTTCTTGAGTTATGCCCCTTTACAAAAGGAAAAATTGCTGAAATTTTCGTTTCCGTTCTCAAACTTTAGATGGCCTCTAACAAATGTTATGAAACTTATGTGCAATGCTGATTACCACAAAACACAGATCAAGTCTGAATTTTGTTGGCGTCACTTTAACTGTTCTAGAGCTATGCCCCTTTTACAACTGGAAAAATTGCCAAATCCTCGTTTTTATATATTCTCTAACTTAAGTTTACCTCTACCAAATGTTATGAAACTTATACACAATGCTTATAACCATATAACTCAGATCAAGTACAAATTTAGGTAGTGTCACTTTTACCGTTCTTGAGTTATATCCCTTTATAAGGTTATATGCAAAGGGGGGCATCATCTGTGTCCCATGGACACATTCCCCATTTATTTCTGTATATATCTCAAATAGTTTTTGTCCAAATTAAGATAGTTTGGTTCAGATTCAAGACTAGAGTTCAGAATCATTAGTTAAGTACTATTTAGTCTTGTGTAAGTTTTATTCGTCATTTTATTAGAGCTAGTGCAGTCCATACTATTTGTGAATTTATGTACTGTTATAATGTTTTAATTATAATTTTGGTCCTGCTGTGGATTCATTATTATTTTTGTTGGATACCAATTTTCGTGGGTACAGGGGTACCAGGAATATAAATGTTCAACAAATTACAAGTTTTCTATAGGAATGTAGGCAGACATTTTAAACATGTTAAAACCACAAAATTAAATATCCACTAAAATGCAAGTTTCCTCAATCCAAGAAAATTGTTATCCATTAACATAAATGAATCCACTGTATCAGAAAATAAATAGAATTAATTCAATATGATAAAATCACAATTCTTAAGTTCTTTGTGTCTGTTAGGTGTCATCTCAGATTATTGAAAGTTTCAGACAGTGCTGGCACCATCTCATCTTTGTTCTTTCTTTTTATATCTTGAAAATTTGTTGGTTTAGAGTTGGTCCTAAAGTAATAGTAGATTTATGATTACACATATAGTAAACTGGACTTTCTGCCAACAAATTTTCAGGTATGAAGTCTGAAGTTTTAAAGACAAATTTTCAGCCTCGTAAGTATTTTTCTGAATAAGATAAAAAGATGTTTTTATTTTTGTTCTATTTTTAGGTATTGAAAATCGTTTACTGAGAATAGAAGAGAAGTCAAAGGATGATGAATTAACACTTCAACAGCTAGCAGATCTTGTGGAAACTATTGGTGGAAAATTTGATGATATAGAAGATATTCTTAAAACACTGTCCATTCATAATGATTGTGATGATGTGAACAATGTTGAACAGTTAAATGATGGAGAAGAACCAGAGATTGTTTTAGTACAGTGTGTGTCTGAAGAGGTATCCCCACTGACAGTGTCTGAACCAATGCCTGGAGGGTGTAAGGAGGCACCAGACAATGTTGAGGAGGTATCGCCACTGACAGTGTCTGAACCAATGCCTGGAGGGAGTAAGGAGGCACCAGACAATGTTGAGGAGGTATTACAGGACATTAATATTGACTATTCCTCTTTGCCAAATATATCCAAAGATAATAAAGGGTATAAACAAAGATGTACGGGAAGGAGTGATGATAATAGAAGACAGATAAGGAAAGATAGAAAAAGTAAAAATAAAAATGTAATGAAAACTTGTGAAAGTGAACAGTCTGTACAACCTAGTCCAGGACCTTCCTCTTTAAATGTTGCTGTAAGAAATAAAGAAACAAAAGAAGCATCTAGACCATGTGATCAAACAACTTCACCAGCGAGACAAGCAAAAAAACAACAGCCAACTACATCACATCAAACTACTTCACCAGGTAGACCTCCAGTTGTTAAAGAAAGGTATACAATATTTTGCATTGCTTATTTTTTTACATATTTTATGTCAGGTACAAAAATATTCCAGTGATCTTCAGAGGTGAACAAAATGAGGCATATAGATGATATAGATGCAGACAGGGAAGTTGAGGCAAGAGGGAAAACACAGAACCTTTGTACTATGTTTATATCAGTTATATAATAGTCATAATACCTGGCTTTTGCATCCTAATTGCAGTTTAAATACACATAGAATATGGACACATGGAAGCTGTTTTTTATTTTGAATAATTTGTAGGTAAATACATTTTGAATTAAGATTTGTGGTATCCAAATAAATAATTTGTCTTTAGCAGTATGTTTGCTTCAATTCATTTCTTCACTAGGTAAATGTTCAATTATCTATGAACAGTCAGGGGACTTACTGAAATAAGTGATTTAAAAATCACTTATTTAAGTAGCAAATTTGAAATTTTGTCTCAAATTGTGATTTTGTAGTTTTACCAAAATTTTAAACATATAGGTTTAGATTATATCTTATTATTAGTAAAATTGGAAAAAATTAACCTTTTTCTTCTTTTAAGTAGCAAGGTTTATGCCTTTGATGCAATCAATTAGCTGTAAATTCTATATTTGTTGAAAAAATGCTATAATAAAGGCTTTACATAATGAACTGATACTTTCTTAACAGATTTTTCCCAGCAGTGGGAGTAATTTTCCTGTAAAATTCAAGGTTTCATCTTACAGATTATGTAATAAAATTTTACTGTTCGCGATAAAAATTTCACTGTTCGGAGGTAATTAAAATAATAATACTTAAAGAAGTGATTTTTGGAAGAAAATAGAGGTATGATACTTAAACAAGTGATTTTTCATGTCATTATCATAGATTCAGTACAAGGTCATCACCTGACACGACCGGTCATCATATCAACACAGATGTTGGTTCTGATAATTTAAGCAACATAATTAGTCCCTGGATCATCATGATCATTAGTATAGTATATTTAAAGCTACAATAAAATTAAATCACTTAGTCCAGTGATTAATTTGTACTACTTAAATAGGTGATTATTAAAGAAAGACAACTCTTACTTTCAACATTTGTGGAGACAATATTACTTGAATCAGTGATTAAAAAATCACTCATTTAAGTAAGTCCCCTGACTGATGAATAAAAAGAGAAAGGCAGTTCTATATGTAAAGTTCTGAATCATGAACCTGAATCTGTCAGTATTTCTCTACTGATAGTGTTAAAGTAATATAGACTCTGCTTTTTACAAATTAGATCTATAAAAATAAGACGATGTGGTATGCTTGCCATTGAAACAACTCTCCACCAGAGACCAAATGATGTAGAAGTTAGCACGACTCTGTTTATACTCAATTAAAGTAATAGTAGAAACTACAGAAAACGTCTGATGTTAACAGTAGTCTGCCAAATCAAAAATACTTCATTATGACCAAAACCATTTTTACCTTGTGACAATTGGATAACACTTGATATCAACTCAATTTAGTTCATTTTAATATAAGGCGAGTTTATTATTATTATTGAAATTAAATAACTCGAGTTAATAGCAAGTGATATCCAATTTGCACAAGGTGTTAAACCTCTTTTTCCTATGGTAAAAATTCTCCAATTCTCACTCATTATGCAACCTATAATTATCACAGTCGCATTTAAGTTACTATCTGGAAATATATATAAGAAAATTTAAATAGGAAGGTCTGCTTTTCATTTTCAGTAAAACCAGTTTAGCATCCAGTTATAGTCTTCCTGATGATAGAGATGATTATAGAAACCTAGCTGTTCTGGCAAGTGGTAAGACAAAGAATAAAATAGTCAAATATTTATTATATAAACCTGGATAAGTTGACAAGTGGTAAGGCAAAGAATAAAATAGTCAAATATTTATTATATAAACCTGGATAAGTTGACAAGTGGTAAGGCAAAGAATAAAATAGTCAAATATTTATTATATAAACCTGGATAAGTTGACAAGTGGTAAGGCAAAGAATAAAATAGTCAAATATTTATTATATAAACCTGGATAAGTTGACAAGTGGTAAGGCAAAGAATAAAATAGTCAAATATTTATTATATAAACCTGGATAAGTTGACAAGTGGTAAGGCAAAGAATAAACAGCCAATTATTCTTTATGCTAGAACACTGGCTGGCTGTTTTGGCAACTGATAAAGTTATTAAAGGAAATGCTTTACTATGATCTTATGACCTTGTTCAGTAATTTACAATTCCTTATTTGGACATTTTACATTATTTTAGGTGTTTAAATATCTTTTTATTCTCTTCTAAAACTTTGTGGTTCCAATCATTACAGAAAAGATAATTCTGTAGTCCATTAGTATTATTATACAATATTTAAAAAGTGTGTTTACTCCAAGCACTTATCACTATGTTTTTTTTTGTCACTTTAAAATCTCAATCCAACTTTGGTAATTTCATTGCTTATACACCCCAAAAAGGAAAGTATCATCATACCCTTATTTATTTGAATAATCCTTTTTTATGACATTGTTAAAACAAAAGCAATGTTGTAAATATGTGAACAATATTACCCACAATTATTTGGATTTTAAAAATTGATTTAGTTATTGCAGATTTTTTTTTTGTCATTAAATTTTTTTATTTGATTTAAAGGAGAAAGAGTTTTACCTTCAATTCAGCAGGAGACCATTCCAAATGCTGATAAGTTTTGGATGGGATTAATGGAAAGAGAAAGAGAAGCTGGTATTGTATTATTACTTTTAATTACAAGAGGTTTAGATCTGTATTGGTCATTGTAGGTAAAGAAAGAAAAATTGTTTTTAAGTAAACAATTTGATAGAGGGGGGGGGGGGTTCATAGTTCATTTAGATTTGTAATAGTTATTTCTTGCACATTTCAAGAAATTCTAAAACTCCAAACAGTTTTCAAATAGGAATTCAAATGCAAACTACCATACTTACTGTTTGAAATGGATAAAACGGGAAAAAGCTGACAAAAAATCTTTGGACTCTTTTTTTAAATCAGTAATGAACATAGTTGATATACGTATTCAACATTTTAAAGAACATTTTACTCTTAACAATAACCACAATAAACCTATTTCTCGTATCAAACATAAACTAAAAGAACTAGCCAAGGAATTTGTTTTTGTCCCGGCCGATAAAGCTGCTAATAATATTATTATTGTTTGACGTAAATTTTACATTGAGGTTCTGAAAAAAGAAATCACCAATTCACCAACATTCCAACTGACTCCATTTTCAGAAAACGACATCTGTAACAAACATAAACTTTTAGCTACCGCTTTACAAGCAGAACCAAATACAATGAAAGTCCCAACTATGTATTGGCTTCCGAAGCTACACAAAACACCTTACAAATATAGATTCATTTCGTCTTCAAGCCATTGTTCCACTACTAAATTGTCTATTCTTCTTACCAGTACACTTGGTACAATCAAAAACCTGATAATAAATTGTTCAAATAAGGCCTTCGAAAATAGTGGAATTAATTACTTTTGGAGTGTCAAGAACTCGTTGGAAGTACTTGATAAATTGCATGCATATATTGGTGATTTTGAATCTGTTCAAAGTTTTGATTTTTCTACCCTATATACCACATTGCCTCACATTCTCATTAAGAAAAAATTCACACACCTAATTATATGGGCATTTAAAAAGTCAGAATGTGAATATATATGTTCAAACTCTTTTAGGTCATTTTTTAGTAGCAATAAACAAAAAAACTATGTCAATTGGACATGCTTTGATACTATATATGCCCTTGAATTTTTACTAGATAACATTTTTGTTTGCTTTGGAGATTCCGTATATCGTCAGGTTATCGGAATTCCAATGGGGACTAACTGTGCACCACTTATTGCGGACCTTTTTTTGTATTGCTATGAGTTACAATTTATGACAAAAATCAGTAAAGACCCATCGAAACAACATCTGATACACAAATTTAATAATACTTTTAGATATTTGGATGATATTTTGGCTCTCAATAATGACGACTTCAGTATGTATACTAAAGAAATTTATCCTGTTGAACTTACTTTAAATAAAGCTAATACTAACAATGACCACTGCCCTTTCCTCGATCTTGATATTTATATCATTAACGGAAAGCTTAATACTAAAATATATGATAAAAGAGATGATTTTTCATTTCCTATCGTTAATTATCCATTTTTAGATGGTGACGTTCCCTTGTCACCATCTTACGGTGTTTATATATCTCAACTTGTACGATTCGCTCGTGTATGTAACAATGTTTTAGATTTTAACGAGAGAAATGTATGTATTACTGAAAAATTATTACACCAGGGTTTTCGATATCACAAACTAGTCAAAACATTTACTAAATTTTATCATCGGTATAAGGACATCATTCGTAAATATAGCTCAACATGCAGACTTCTTATACGTTCAGGTATTTCACATCCAATTTTTTATGGAAATATTCTTTATAAAGCACATAAATGTCAGTATTCACCTCTGAAACTAACAAAACCTTTAAATAGACTTATTAAGAAGGGATATAGTTACGATACTGTTGTCAGGTCATTAAAGATTGCATATTTTGGCGTTGATATTGATTCACTTATAGGGTCTTTGCATCTGCACTAAACACATTTATTTAAAAACCAGTTGTTGGCATGACACGGGTTATGTTCTTCTCATATATGTTATGATGGTATGATACTAAACCCCTAACGGGAAGGATTGTGCCTGATATTCATATGATGAAGACATAATCTTTCAATCAGTTTAATTGAAGTCTGGAGCTGGCATGTCAGTTAACTGCTAGTAGTCTGTTGTTATTTATGTATTATTGTCATTTTGTTTATTTTCTTTGGTTACATCTTCTGACATCAGACTCGGACTTCTCTTGAACTGAATTTTAATGTGCGTATTGTTATGCGTTTACTTTTCTACATTGGCTAGAGGTATAGGGGGAGGGTTGAGATCTCATAAACATGTTTAACCCCGCCGCATTTTTGCGCCTGTCCCAAGTCAGGAGCCTCTAGCCTTTGTTAGTCTTGTATTATTTTTAATTTTAGTTTCTTGTGTACAATTTGGAGTTTAGTATGGCGTTCATTATCACTGAACTAGTATATATATTTGTTTAGGGGCCAGCTGAAGGACGCCTCCGGGTGCGGGAATTTCTCGCTGCATTGAAGACCTGTTGGTGGCCTTCTGCTGTTGTCTGTTCTGTGGTCGGGTTGTTGTCTCTTTGACACATTCCCCATTTCCATTCTCAATTTTAATTTTACAGATCAAAATAAAAACTTTGGGGTGCTTCTGGGGAAGAAATTAACCTTCAGGTTGGTCTTTATCTGGGATATAAAGAAAAAAGACATTGAATTGTATTGACAGATCACATAAGATTAACTCAAGTGCATCATTTGCTCTACCCAGGGTTGGAAATATAAAGTAAGCAGCAAACTCACTTCTGAAGTGAAAATCAGACTATGGCTGTTCATATCAACAGGGTCAGTGCTTCTAGAATATCTTACTTTAAATGGCAAAAATTACATACTGGGTATTTGCACAGCTAAAGTAAAACTTCATTTGTTATCAAATTGATAACATATCAATTGATCTTCTAAATAGTCATTTAACTACTAGATAAACAAACCATTTTTACTTGAAATTTGCATGTATACGTATCCATGCTAGTGTTTATTTCAAGTTATATCTGCAAGGAAGATTTGAGTGAATCAGAAAACATATTTTCTTTAATATAGTATTTTTCATATAAAATTTATGAATCACTAGTCATAACTGTTTGGAAATAGATCATCAAACATTTGTATTTTGTTTGTATGAATTAAAGAAGATGGGTTGTATATGTGTTAATGGAACAGCAATTACCTATCCTAACTATTTAAGTGAATCCTGAATCCACAAATTTAAAATAAGATAAAAATTTCTATTACACATCTTACCAAAAAAATTACACCTAACTTTGATTTATTAATATAACTAGATTGTCATGACTCCCTAATGACTTTTGTTTTATTTGTGTAAATGGCCACAGATGTCCTTATTTTGTGGAAGACCAAATGCGTTGTTAAAGTTAGTTGACGTTCTCTTATATTATGTTATCTGAAGTTTATGTCTATTTATTGTAGCTGAGAAAAGTTCATTACCAAAAGGTGATGGAGAAGACACCTATCTTATTTTAGACACGTCAGCCAGTATGGAAGGGCAGCCATTTTCAGACTTGATGAAGATAGCTAGAAATTTCCTCAATGGTAATATTAATAATGTTTTTGATATAAGTATTATATGTAATAATGTTTGCAGTTGGGATTCCAAAAAATCTATGAGCCAGCCAGACATTTTTTTCAATCCCATTTTTTATTCCTTTAGACAGGTTCCCCCATAACAAAAGATGGACATAACCATATGATAAAGCTATTAAACTATTAAAGGAAGATAAACTTCATAGACTTTATACTTTTTCAGTTTTTATATAAATTCCATTTTTGACATAAAACAATTACATTGATAGTGCATGGTTCGATTGGCATATATCTGCAGACTTAACAAAGTGTATTAGTCAGTCGAGGACCAGCTTAGTTATTTGACAAACACGTTTTCCAATACCAGATATTTACTAGACGATGATAGAATGCTGAACGGAGACGGTTGTGCAAAATCCGTGTATTTTTATCTAGCATTATTAAGGTTAAGCAGTTCTTTCCACGTTATTTCTTAGGGAAAATACTTGAGATAAACGTAAGATAATGGTATAAATGACATTTTTATTGTTTTGGATGAATTCGGACGCACAATTAAATAATAGATATCACACTTGTGCACATGTGCACACTTCTATTATTTTAATCAATGTGGTTCTGTCTGTTAAACTTTTTTACCACCTTTGTAAATTATGGTCTTATTGTTTTAAATACGTTTTTCTGATAGTTTAAATCTGTTTTGCTAAAAAGTAGTTAGATTTCAACCAGGAATGGTTTTAATTTTAATAAAATAATAACTTCCAAAAAGATCGATTGATGTCCGGTACAAATAGTTTACCTGACACAGGTGATTACTGGTAAATCTCACCTGTTAGACACTAAATTAACCTTCATTGTAATGAGAGGGAATTATAGTAGGGCTTGTTTATAGAGTTCTGTCACTTTTATGACTGGAAAAGTGTGGCTGTTTAAGGTACAAGTTCAAGTCAAAATTGTTGATTTTTCTGAATTACATGAAAGTTGAAATGGCAAACCCACGTAGGATGTCCGTTTCATGCTTGGCCCAGTCATGATGTTGGACAATGTCCGGCAAATATGACCGTTTTGGAAGCCTTGGTTTGCAGCTCAATTACACATTAATATACTAGGCTAAATGAAATATAACGTGACCAAGCGAGACAATTTTTCTATTGATCTTCTTTTTCTCAGAGAAGTATGTCTAACTCATCTACCCAATACTCTATTGATAGACCTTATTATATTGATATATGTGGGAATAACTTCAAGGTCACCATTACTTTGATTTGGAGTACCAACAGAGATGTTTTTGTAGTAACAAGATAATTACATTGTTGTATTATGTCTTTAATGTTGATCCTGTCACATGTTTTTTTCTATATATCAAGGTTTTTTAATAAACCTAATTCTACCTTGTAAACTTACAAACCAATTTGTGAGTTTTAGAGACTAATATGAACTTTTCAAATTCAAAGACATAAAAGATTTAGTTATTTCTAAACTATGTTTTGATTTCAGGACTATGTGAAAATGCTCAGTTTACACAAGAGAATGTTTGTATTGTGGAAGTTGGCATAGCTACCAGAGTTCTGGTCCATAAAACTAATAGTAGAGATAAATTACTGTCATCTCTAGGTAAGAAGCCACCAGTCGTACAAAGTTCTGTTAATTGAAACTTCCAAAAAAGCACACTCAAATTATATAAGCTTCACAAATCAATACAACAGAACAAACACCACATGCACATAACTATCAACATGTCCATATCTAGTTAATAGTGTTTTGATATGAGAAAACCAGTTTCATCATGTAGGATGTGACACTCCAAAAATCAAGGCTGTGGCAGTCAAAATTTACACTTCCAACAGACTACACACAGACCTCCCATGAAGAGTCGAAGAATGCTTGTTTAACATGCAGTCAGCCAAGTTCTCTCCTGATTTAAGTGATCATTGCTACCAAGTTTTCAGATACATGCTTGGTAGCAAACCATTATTGCATTACTGATATGACATAAATTTTACCATTCCCAAGAAATTAATTTGTTTTAAAAAGTTTTTTCCTCAATATTTGTTGTTTCTCACAATGTTTGTTCTAGGCGTATAACAGTCAAATGGGTATAACTTAAATAAGTTATTAGAGAAAATAACATACATGTTGTTATTACAGATAATTTCAAGAGTTGTCTACTCTTTGTTTCTATAATTTTCTTCATCTGTAGTAACATATGTTTGTTATTTGTTAGATAGTCATGAATATTTTTATTTTTGGTGGGCACTTGGGAATTCTTTAAACTTTGCGCAGTAACTTAATACATAGCCTTGATAACTAATTTTCAAATTATATCAATACATTTTTAATCAACCATGGTAAATCAATGAGACAAGGATTTCAAGCCATTAATCTAAGCTGTAATAACAAGGCTTAGTTATTACAGGCATGTAACTTATTACATGTATTATATGAGAATCTTGGTAATTACTTGGAAGCTTGCGCAGAACCTCATTACATGCTCTGATCATTATTTCTTACAATAAATTAAAATACATTGTGATTAAGCATGATATATGTCTGAGCAAAGGCTTTGAAGTTATGTAGAGAAGCTGTAATAACACCCTTTAGTTATTACAGGGATATTTTTTCTGTCATAACATAGGTGTACTATGCATGATTTCCAAACTATGAACTATTATATCTTACTAAAGTTTAATACACATAAAGACAATAACAATCTCAATAGAACTTGTATAAATTTTAACAAAACAGAGGATGTATATTGCCACTTTGAAACATGTAATATACATATGTTATCACAGTTTCTTTATATTTTAGCCCACAATAACATCATGTATGTTATTTTTTTCTAATAACTTATTTAAGTTATACCCTTGACTGTATAATGGACTCAAATCAAAGGACAATAATTGAAAAATTTCTTCCCAAAAGAATCTAATTCAGAAAAGTTATCTTAAGCTTCTAAGGAGAAAAAAGAATAACTAGTTTTGATTCTGTAAATTACAAAATTTTATTACAGCATTTATTATTGCGATTTTTGAAGAAAGGACAAAAATGTGAGATTAATTATTGCAATTTCAGGAAAATCTGCATACAGATGTATGGATCAGATATCAGAATGCGACTTCTTATTTTTGCGATACTCAACCAGTTGCATTATTCGCATTAATTAAAACCTCACAATAATCTCTGAATTTACAGTAATAGTTTTGTACCATGATATGGAATGGCCAATTTTTATTAGCTTATAATAAGTTATTATTTTTCAATATGTTAAATATTTTGTTTCAGGTCAGCTAAGACAAGGAGGAATGTCACCTGTAACAGGAGCTCTACTTGTAGTGGAAGGAATCATAGCAAGAAGTAAGTTTGTGTCTAGAAGGGGTCATGGAACATGTGTGTTTAAAACAAATTTAACTCCTTTTGATTGAATCTTAATGGAACATGTAAGTCAAATGTTACAATGTATATGTCTGTTTTGTAATTCTTTTACCTTTTGGTAAATAGTAAACAAAGTGAACAAAATTGAAATATTGTGTTTATTAATCTTTCTAAAGAGTTATTTATTAATTCAGTCATATTTGATTTAAAGAGTTGCATGATTTCACTAATAACTTTCAAAGTAACAATTTTTTTTTTACATTCTTACAAAAATCTTTAACAACACCTGTACGAAATGTGATGCCTGTAAATGACATGGAAACCAGGCATAGAAATCATACTTTATCCTGGCGTCATTGCAGTGTTTAAGAAATGCATGTCCAGGCGGAAACCAAGCGCAGCTGAGGCGGAAACCAGGCGTAAAATTAGGCGTAATATTTAAATTACGCCTGGTCGACAGAAATTTAGGCGTACTATGCAAATAAGTACGTCTGGTCAATAAATAAACCAGGCGTTTTATCCTTACATAATACTACACTTAATTTAAATCAGTGTATTACCCTAGCTGTGTACTTTGTGTATTTGATACAAACTTGTACTGTTGCTAAAATTTCTCATTGTTTGACATAAACTTGAAATATTAACCATTGAAGAAGGTATATAAATAAATACATATTAGACAGACACTGGCTCAAATAAGTTTAAATAAGAGTTATGACAATTAATTTTTCTTGAAATAAAACTAGTATTTTGACTTAGTTGTTTTGAAAATTAATGTCATTTGAACTAAAAAATCAATGATATTACTGCAATTTAACTTGTGAAAGATTTAAATATTATTATCCAAGGATGAGGGTTTCCTGAATTTGAAATTTAATGTTAAAAAAATAAAAACTTAATAACTTAGTTACTCACATAATTATTATTTACCAGAAGACTTTCCTTTGATTTCACAATTTTCATTCATCAATTCGATTCCATAATTCCAATTTCAAATTCTTCCAAAAAGCACAAAAAAGCATAAACTTCCTCTGAATATATCAAGCTGCCATATGTCCAACTCTTGCAAGCTAATACCAGAGAGCCAAATTTTGAAAAAATTTCCAATGATCCTTTAAACAAAGCATTATGGGTATTATGATTTACGCCCTTCCAACAGTTTTACACCCGTAGGAAAATTTACGCTTTGCTTATATCAATTTACGCCAGGTTTACCACTTTTTTTTACATGCGTAAGTGCTACAAATTTACGTTTACTGCTCCATTACGCCTGGATCTGGACATGTAACTACCACTTACGCCTGGTTTACGCCAAATTTCAAGTCGTAATACGCCTTATAATTTCATATGGGCGTGACCTATTTACTGTTCTTAAGTTAAAACAGAATAAACAAACAATAGGGTCATTTCATCACATAATCTGAAAATCTTGTCTCATTTAGAATATGAAGCATGTATAAACAAACAATAGGGTCATTTCATCACATAATCTGAAAATCTTGTCTCATTTAGAATATGAAGCATGTATAAACAAACAATAGGGTCATTTCATCACATAATCTGAAAATCTTGTCTCATTTAGAATATGAAGCATGTATGAACAAACAAAAACTACAAAGCAATTTTATAATGCAAAGACATATAAGTTTCACTCCTAGAATATCTATCATGCTAGAATTCAACTGTAACTTCAGAAGATCATGTTAATTTCAATGTCATTTCCACTTTAAAACAGATAGGTAGGAAAAGTTAAAAAAAAAAAAGAGTCTACTATATGTTTTTTTTATAATTGTTTTGACAGACTCTACTCCAAAAAAAGTAGTTGTGATATCAGATGGAAAGATGACACCTATACATATTAAATCTGGAAAAGATTTACCTGATCTACATAATGAACAGGTATGAGACCTTTATATATTAAGTAACGGTTAACAGATATGATGCCTAAATATGTAAGGGAAAGGTTTACTTAACCTCAAAAACCATAAAGTATTAAAAAGCATTTTAATAGATTATGACATCCATTCTTACATGGTACAACCATACTAAAGCTGATAGACACAAATCATTGACAAAACAAGATGCTACAGAATATTAATTTGGTCAAACATGTTGGCTAAAAACAACACCATATAGATAAGATATTAAAGAAAAGTTGTGTTAAAATATTCAGTGTACATTGAATAATACAGTCAAAACATGATATGTGGGGTATATGTAAATGAGACGGCAACACAATGAAACAGTAACGCCAAAAGAAATGTACAGGTCATCATGCTGTCTTCAACAATAATAAAGTGTCTATTCAATATACATGTACATCTAAATCTCTAAAAATTGTATAGAAAAGTTGTTCATTAATTTAGCATAGACTAGTGATCTGCCATGAACACCACATCCATTAAAGTATAAAAACATAAAGATGTAACTAGACAACCAGTGATCTGCCATGAACACCACATCCATTAAAGAATAAAAACATAAAGATGTAACTAGACAACCATTGGTCTGCCATGAACACCACATCCATTAAAGAATGAAAACAAAGATGTAACTAGACAACCATTGGTCTGCCATGAACACCACATCCATTAAAGAATAAAAACATAAAGATGTAACAGACAACCAGTGATCTGCCATGAACACCACATCCATTAAAGAATAAAAACATAAAGATGTAACTAGACAACCTGTGATCTGCCATGAACACCACATCCATTAAAGAATAAAAACATAAAGATGTAACTAGACAACCATTGGTCTGCCATGAACACCACATCCATTAAAGAATAAAAACATAAAGATGTAACTAGACAACCTGTGATCTGCCATGAACACCACATCCATTAAAGAATAAAAAACATAAAGATGTAACTAGGCAACATTTGGTCTGCCATGAACACCACATTCATTAAAGAATAAAAACATAAAGATGTAACTAGACGAATAAAAACATAAATATGTAACTAGACAACCATTGGTCTGCCATGAACACCACATCCATTAAAGAATGAAAACAAAGATGTAACTAGACTACCATTGGTCTGCCATGAACACCACATCCATTAAAGAATAAAAACATAAAGATTTAACTAGTCTACCATCGATCTGCCATGAACACGACATCCACTAAAGAATAAAAACATAAAGATGTAACTAGACAACCAGTGGTCTGCCATGAACCCCACATCCATTAAAGAATAAAAACATAAAGATGTAACTAGACAACCATTGGTCTGCCATGAACACCACATCCATTAAAGAATGAAAACAAAGATGTAACTAGACTACCATTGGTCTGCCATGAACACCACATCCATTAAAGAATAAAAACATAAAGATGTAACTAGACTATTATTGGTCTGCCATGAACACCACATCCATTAAAGAATAAAAACATAAAGATGTAACTAGACAACCATTGGTCTGCCATGAACACCATATTCATTAAAGAATAAAAACATAAAGATGTAACTAGACTATTATTGGTCTGCCATGAACACCACATCCATTAAAGAATAAAAACATAAAGATGTAACTCGACGAATAAAAACATAAAGATGTAACTAGACTACCATCGATCTGCCATGAATACCACATCCATTTAAGAATAAAAACATAAAGATGTAACTAGACTACCATCGATCTGCCATAAACACCACATCCATTAAAGAATAGAAACATAAAGATTTAACTAGTCTACCATCGATCTGCCATGAACACCACATCCACTAAAGAATAAAAACATAAAGATGTAACTAGACTACCATCAATCTGCCATGAACACCACATCCATTAAAGAATAAAAACATAAAGATGTAACTAGACAACCATTGGTCTGCCATGAACACCACATCCATTAAAGAATAAAAAAATAAAGATGTAACTAGACAACCATTGGTCTGCCATGAACACCACATCCATTAAAGAATGAAACAAAGATGTAACTAGACTACCATTGGTCTGCCATGAACACCACATCCATTAAAGAATAAAAACATAAAGATGTAACTAGACAACCATTGGTCTGCCATGAACACCACATCCATTAAAGAATAAAAACATAAAGATGTAACTAGACAACCATTGGTCTGCCATGAACACCACATCCATTAAAGAATAAAAACATAAAGATGTAACTAGACTACCAGTGATCTGCCATGAACACCACATCCATTAAAGAATAAAAACATAAGGATGTAACTAGACTACCAGTGATCTACCATGAACACCACATCCATTAAAGAATAAAAACATAAAGATGTAACTAGACTACCAGTGATCTGCCATGAACACCACATCCATTAAAGAATAAAAACATAAAGATGTAACTAGACAATCATTGGCAATGTTCCTGGATTGGTACTAGGTCATGAAAGTAGCAGGGTGAACACTTAACCCTCCCCCTTTTTAACATAGATCAGTTGAATTTAAAGATACTTTATAGAATAGACATAAAGTGTCAGTTCAGAGAAAGAACTTACCAATGTAGTATAAGTATTATAAATAACTGAAATACAGGTTGCCTTTTTAGAGAATTTACAACTTATACAATCACAAAACTTAAACATCTATTGCAAGATATATTTAAATCAATTTTTATATGTTAGTTTGATCATACTTCTTTTCAGCTTAAAATCCAGCTTAAAATCTTAGGCCACAACATGCGTGCCTTGAATGTTAGAATATTCTTTGTTCCTGTAGGACCTTATGATTCTGTAAGTTGATCATTACTGTTTTAAATATCCATAGACAGAAAGTTATTGCCTGATTATAAAAATGGTGTCCTTTTTATGATTTAAAATCAGACTTGAGTGACTTTTGATAAGTTTTAGGCTTAGGTCAAATTTTGGGACACATATAGTATGAAAATATTGATGATATTTCTATATAGTACAAGCTATTTGAATGATATTCATTTCATAATATAGTGATTTGGGATAATTTTGACTTTACCAATGATTTTTCTTAAGTACAGTCCTCTTTGATTAATACAATGATATTCAGCAACATTTAGGTTACTGTGATTAACATTTATCTCTTAGTTTTTACAACCCCGCTCAACAGAGTTAGCAGTATATTGGAATCGTTATGTCTGTCTGTTTGTTTTTCCGTCCCACTTATGGTTTCCAGAAGATAAATAGAGAACAGCTTTTTGATATAAATTGAAACTTTTATGGAATGTTTTGGACCACTCAGACAGGTTAAGTTCGATTTTCATTATTTTCACTTTCACCTGTTCGAGAGTTACAGTACTTCATTGTTGGAAAAAGTTCCAATTTTTTGGTTCCAGATGATAAATAGAGAACTGCAATTTTCAGTGGAATTATCCTAAACACAGGTTAAGTTCCATTTTCGTCATTTTCACTTCTACTGTTCAAGAGTTTTGATACTTGATTGTTAAAAAAAATTCAAATTCTTTTGGTGTCCACCAAACAAAATCATTGATCTCTCCGTTGCTGAGGATGGGGGTATCTGTGATCACTTAAATAAGTTAAGGTGGGCATCCATAACCTATAAGACACACCATCTATTCTATATGCTTTAATGATAAATGTGTTGTTATGAATCAAACTTCAAAACATGACCATCTGCAATATACCTAGCAGGAACTATGTTAGATTTACAATGTTGTAGACTTCTTTCATGGTAAACAAACATTTAAAATGTGCTTGCTTCTACAGGAAGCTAGCTTGGTAGGAAGAAAGGTTGTTGAAAGAATATTTATAATCTGAAAAGTATAAGGAAAATCATTTGATTCTTAAAAATACTAAAAAAAAAACATCCATAGATTGGATTTCTAATATTACTCTGAGTCAGTCAGATTTGAACAATACATTGTCAAAAAGTACAATCAGTCCCAGCCAGCCATCACCTCAACAGTTTTTATAGAATAAAATTTATGAGAACTAGACAATAAAATTTCATGGCCTAGCTATTTATACATTTAGTTTATGAGATTTTGTAGAGTTTAATGGAAGGTCTGATAAAAGACACCAGAGGGGATGAAGTACTACCAGCCAACATTAGTAGACTGTACAATTGGACAAGAAATACTGTATGTACTTTTCATTGTAGAGATGTAAGATAAGTAAAAACATGCAATAAATCTCCCTCTCCTTTCCCAATCAACTACCTAAAACCAAAATTTCCTGATCCTTTAGTTCAGAGCTTCCATGTTGGACAATCTAGGCTTTATTTGATCCTTTAGTTCAGAGCTTCCATGTTGGACAATTTGATCCTTTAGTTCAGAGCTTCCATGTTGGACAATCTAGGCTTTATTTGATCCTTTAGTTCAGAGCTTCCATGTTGGACAATCTAGGCCTTATTTGATCCTTTACTTCAGAGCTTCCATGTTGGACAATCTAGGCCTTATTTGATCCTTTAGTTCAGAGCTTCCATGTTGGACAATCTAGGCCTTATTTGATCCTTTAGTTCAGAGCTTCCATGTTGGACAATCTAGGCCTTATTTGATCCTTTAGTTCAGAGCTTCCATGTCGGACAATCTAGGCCTTATTTGATCCTTTAGTTCAGAGCTTCCATGTTGGACAATCTAGGCCTTATTTGATCCTTTAGTTCAGAGCTTCCATGTTGGACAATCTAGGCCTTATTTGATCCTTTAGTTCAGAGCTTCCATGTTGGACAATCTAGGCTTTATTTGAGTGTTCCTACCATCATTGAATAAAAAAAAACCTGGTTTACAAAACAACAATAAATAAAATAAGACCTGGTTTACAAAACAACAATAAATAAAAAAAGACCTGGTTTACAAAACAACGATAAATAAAAAAAGACCTGGTTTACAAAACAACGATAAATAAAATAAGACCTGGTTTACAAAACAACAATAAATAAAAAAAGACCTGGTTTACAAAACAACAATAAATAAAAAAAGACCTGGTTTAGACCTGGTTTACAAAACAACAATAAATAAAAAAAGACCTGGTTTACAAAACAAAAATAAATAAAAAAAGACATGGTTTACAAAACAACAATAAATAAAAATCGACCTGGTTTACAAAACAAAAATAAATAAAAAAAGACCTGGTTTAGACCTGGTTTACAAAACAACAATAAATAAAAAAAGGCCTGGTTTACAAAACAAAAATAAATAAAAAAAGACCTGGTTTACAAAACAAAAATAAATAAAAAAAGAGCTGGTTTACAAAACAACAATAAATAAAGACCTGGTTTACAAAACAACAATAAATAAAATATGCAATACATGTACAGTATATTTAAGATAAAAACTGTTACATTGATGTTTACTCTTTGTTGGGACCAATATATCTACTTTATCTATTGGTCCAAGTTGTTTGTGAATAATCTAAAGTGCTTTTACGCCTATACATTGTAGCTGTGCTGAAAACTTGTGCAACCCAACTTCAATAGGTAGTTCCTTGTGAATATACATTGCGGATTCTGTTTTTTAAAAGCTTTTTACAAAAGTACTAATTACTTCATAGTCAGGGTTTAATATGACACTTGATCATGAATCTTTTTGCCTTTACACATTGCTGCTCAATTAAACCTTGTGTCATCTTAACAATGCAAGTATTAGTTAAAGTGACGATTAACTAAGTTAAGTAAGTGGTTGTGGATTCAACAGCTTTTGAAAATAAAAAGCACTGTCAAAATATAACTTACAGGGTATGAACATTTCTGAGTGATTTAGACAATGGGATTCTGGGTACATATATATTTACATAAAATAAGAGGACTTTCTAACAGAAGATAACTGTTTTAGTCATTGTTTCATCAATTTTAGTTACAAATAACTTAAAGATAGGATTTGACTTGGCTGTCTTGTTGTATTTAATATTTGGTCAAAATGTTTGACTATTAATGAATTTGTCAGAAAATGTGTTAACCCCTGCTTAAAAAGAAATTTAATAAGAAATAATGTGTATATATTTTCAGCTTTTAGCGATAAAACTTGCAGTTGATTGTAGAAAACAACATCCTGGAGTTTCATTAGATAACGAACAATTCAGAGATGTACTTGAGCGTGCAGGCTCTGAATGTCAGATTGGGCCAGATGTAAGTTCAACTTTTTTTCTTTTTTTTTATTATTGTGACTAAAATTAGAATAAAATCTGAAGTAGGTTTTCACTTTATTTGGAATCAAATTAGACCATTGTCATTTTAGTTCTAACTATGTTTGTGGTGAGGTGAGTTTACCTTCATTGTCTATCATGGTTATATCAATTCATAGAAAATTCGGGTAGTGTTTGTATTGCACTTTTATCATTTGTTCAATATTTTACATTAGAACCTGTGTATCTATACCACATTGCACACAACTAATAATTTGGTGTAAAATATAGCTTGCTGAAGGAAAAATGTTTTGCCTATTGAATTAAGCCAATATACTAAAATTTGTCAGCAGCCTTGCTAAATTGGCAAACTGAATAAATTTCAGCATTTATGCTCATAAAACATTTTGCTATGGAATGCCATGACAATGATATTGTAACGATTTCTGTTGGTAGGGAATATCATAAAATGACAGTCACAGTATTTAGATAAGAAAAGTTTGTATGATACAGAAAGTGCCTTACAACAGCAAATTAACATTCTGATGGACTTTTTTGTCATTTAATTTCATTTGGTCAATTTATTGTGTGAAATGACATTCTGCCTGCAATAAGAAAAGTTGTTAGGAAAAAATGGTAGGAGGGGGAGGGGGGTAATACCAAGGGGATTATCAAAAACAGTTAGTCAAAGAAAAAAGACAACACCATGGCCAAAAAAGAAAAAAATGTAAGACAGAAACATAAATTAAGCAACATGTACACTAACAAAAAACTCAGTTGCTTTGGAAGGATAAGAAGTTCCTGCTGAACTTGTAGTATCCTTTCTGTTTCTCTAATAACAAGTAAAACATCTGTGATAACTCCTAGTTGGTGATGTCAGGGTCTAGTGGTCTCAGTTTCACAAGAAATATTACGACTTAAGTTAATCTTTAGTCATGAACAATTCAGTATACTTACGATCAACATTAGGGATCATAGATATATTCTTACGAGGAAGCTCCGAGCACGGAGCTTTTTAAGTAGGCTCTATTCAGCAGTTTATGTGACAATAATTATCATGATCAATTAAGATGTCAATCAAATCTATAGCACTTCTATAAAAAGGAAAGTAAAGCATTATAGAGGAAGCTCAATTAACACCTGTGTAAACATCCGGTCTATTCAAATACAACTAGCATGATTTTACAAAACTATAAAATAGATAAGAAATTCTTCAATAGTACTGTGTAATGCCTGGAAAGAAATATCAAAGCCTCCACAAAAAGTAAATGTTTTTAAGATTCAGTGGACTAAAAACTTTATAACAAAAATTTATACTTTGTACTGGAATCCCTTTTGTCTATGCAATACAACTTCTTTTCTCAAAATTTTTTATATATGATATCAACAGGAAAATATTGCGAAGATGTTTTATTGATACTGTTTATGTTTAAAAAATTATACACAGATTAAATGGAATTAATAAGAAATTATCAGCTTTATAATTAAGCTCCAATATAATTTCTAATTAATTATTTTATACACTTTCCTTTTCTTTTTCATAGCTATGAAATAATTTAGAAAAGTGCATTAAAATAATTCAATAGCCTAGACCAATTACCATTACCATGATTCATACTATACTATTAAATGTACAAAGAATAGGAGCATCATTTTATAAGCTCATTGCTCTTAGCTCCTAATTTTATTTTAAATTCTAGTTCTTCAATACACATTGATTTGTATAAAAAATGTCAACTTATTTTTTAAACTATCTCTTTTAAGCTTAATCAAAATGCAGAAAGTCATAATTACATTTGATACCCTGAATGGTAATTGAAAGTTTCCATTTCATATTATCCTCCTTTTTCTATTTATAAATGTGAACAGAAGAGCGAATCATTTTCAAAGAGAGAAGTCATATGTAATCAATCTATTCTGCTGTCTGCTTAAAATTTAGAATTTTGATTTATTACCCTAATGCTTTAAGTCAATTGAATACCTGTTTAAAACATACCGTTATTTTATACTATATATTAAAACTACAGTTAAAAATTCATGTAATAATCAGTTTCAAGTTAGGAATAAGGCAATTTAGAAGTTTTAGTGTTTGAAGAGAACAGGCAATTTTCTTGAATAATTTGCAGACTTGACTTATATATGCTTAGGTCCCTCACTTACAAATATTTAAAGATGTATAGTAATAGTTCAGTTGGTATGTTTAAAAGAATTTTTAAAGGCAGTGCTTTAATGCCTTTCTAGTTGCCGGGTTAATCCTTCCTTCCGCGATATCCAACTTATCTACGTGGGGGGTCATTAGACTCCAAGTAGATCCGGAAATGTTGAATTCTCTCCTCTTCTTATTGCGATATAAAATGTTTTTTGTTTCATTTCATTTACATTGGGAAATAGAGAAACGATCATTGTGTTTTGTTAGTTTTAAAAACTTTTGATATATTAGTATTTTGCATTATAAGCAGTCAACCGATTGACAAACTAGAATTATTTGAAATCCGTGTGGAAAGAGCTCGGGTTAATTTCGAGTATTATCTGCAATCTAGATGTTTATAAATCATTTCAGTCGTTGATATAATAATTAAAGGTCGACTGAACATGAATTATATTATACAATTTAAAGCGCATTTCTGTTTATGCACGTGAACCCGTCTAACGTTATTTTCGCAGTTATATAAAGTAGCAAATTATCGTTCCTGAATAGGTGGCGCCGTGGTAGCGGATCCTGTTCCTCTTCTTCCGGTTTCTGCACTGTGCAATTATTTCAGTTATATTTTTAATTAACGATGCCAAGTACTTGTTGTTGTGTACCTGGATGTCATTTAAGAGGAGGACATGCATTTCCAAATGACTTAAAAAGAAGGAAAAGTTGGATCAACGCCATGGCCCATACGCAGATTGGACGAGAACACGATGATATCGTGGAGTCCATCTCAATCAGCTGTTGTTTGCAAGGCACGTTTTACTGAAAAAGACTACGTGCAGGAAACTAATCATGGTAAAACTCTATTTTCTTTGTGAAATATATAGTTATATATGTAATCTCCATGCGAATAAACCAAAGTCTGTTTACAACCGCAATTATCGTTTTAGAATAAAAGGGGGTGGGTAATTCAAGACGTCATAATTTTTTGGATTACGATTCAATGTGATCTGTTTGAGATTTTTTGGTGATTGCTACAATTATAATGATTTCTTACAAGAGGTATATCATACTGAGAATTATTTTAGCAGTAATTATGCTAATGTAGTAATGACAGGAATGCATAAGCTATGCCTCATAGACTTTCTTGAAAAATATCAATGACAATGTTAACAGGAACAAAACAATGACATGCTCTCATCTATATTATAGTTATTTAGGTACAAACAATGTACTTTGTTGCATAAGTCTCTCATTGTTTGTCCTTTGGATTTACATAACATACATTGAATCAGGCAAACATAGTTTTATCCAGATTGTAATGAATAAATCTAGTTAATATTTCGCCAGGTAGTACAAAGTATACATTGCTAATGGAAGTTCATTTAATTATAAAAAAACTAATGTTTTATAACCTTTTTCAGGGCGCAAACCCACCATACAGAGACTTAAGTCTACTGCAATTCCCAGCCTATTTTCCTGGACCAAGCAAGAGACTGAATCGTCCGCAAAAAGAAAAATCAGGACAGTTTCCTGTGAAAACAAAAGAACTAAACTTGATGAATATTGTAGTAGAAATCTAGAGGAAAGTTTTGATTGTAAAGTTGGTTTTCCTGAAGAAGTCATTCATACTGCAGAAAGGATTTATGACTGTCCACCACCAACTGCCGAGCTAATGTTGAGCTTCACAGATTACGCAAACACCATCAATGCCTATGTTTTCCGCAGAGAATTTTGAAATGAAGACACGTGACACAGCCATGCATTTTTATACCGGTTTAGAGTTGTATACTAAATTTTTATTTGTTTTGACCACACTTGGTCCAGCAGCACATTGTTTGAGATACATATATTTTCAAATTGATAGGGTGTCAGTTGAAAATCAGTTTTTTTATGACTTTGATGAAATTGAGGCATCATACAACCAACTTTAAACTGTCTAGATTCTAGATTGAATCTAGTGTTAAGAATATTGTGTATACATGGATTGTTTTTATGTCTAAACAGTGGTGTGAGGCTAACACTTGGCCATCTAGTGGTTTAGTCAGGTATTTTTCACCATCCAACTTCAAATTAAAGTTTCCTACGACTTGGATTATTATTGACAGCACAGAATATCCCGTGATAAAACCTAAAGCTCCTAGAGCTCAGGCAACCTTTTCATCAAATAAAAACAGAAACACTGAAAATTCTTGAATGTTCGACACCTGGTGGTTTAGTCAACTATGTCTCTATGTCACATAGAGCGAATTATTGGACTTGGCAAAACATACAAAATTCTAATAAATCCTATGAATGGAACTGAAACAAAACTTTCATCTGAAATAACATTTAGTTGTTTTATGTTGTGTAATTTTAGAACTTGTATTGTGCCAAAGGATGCATAAATAAAAGTGACGCAATGAATTTTGTTCTGATATATATATTTACAATTACATGCACATGTAAATTGTAATGCATATAAAAATAAGGAGATGTGGTATGATATTCAGTGAGTTTATCAAACTAAAGTGCATAAGAAATGGGTTTAAGCAGTTACAGGTGTTACTGTCACCGTACAATCTCCAACAATGAGAAAAACTCGTACCCTGTAAAAAATTTCAGAGATCTTACAACTAAGTTTTGTTTTCTCACCTTGACTTTGGTGAATTTTTTATATCTGTTGATGTAAATATAAAAAAGAAGATGTGGTATGATTGCCAATGAGACAACTCTCCACACATGCACAAGAGACCAAATGACTCAGAAATTAACAGCTATAGGTCACAGTATGGCCTTCAACAATGAGCAAAGCCCATACTGCACAGTCAGCTATAAAAGGCCCAGAAATGACAATGTCAAACAATTCAAACAAGAAAACTAACGGCCTATTTTATGTAAAAAAATGAACAAATATAACAAATATGCAACACATAAACAAACGACAACCACTGAATTACACTTTTATAGGCTCCTGACTTGGGACAGGCACATACATATACATACAGAATGTGGCGGGCTTAAACATGTTAGCGGGATCCCAACCCTCCCCCTAACCTGGGACAGTGGTGTAACAGTACAATATAAGAAAGAACTATAAAAATCAGTTGAAAGAGGCTAAACTCATCAGATGGATAAATACAAATACAAGTGGACGTGGTCGGGTAGTTGTACATCCAAACAACAAAAAGACACTAAGTACAAATCTGAGAGTACTCGCAGTTACTGACAGCTAGTTCAAAGCCACTAACAACTGATAAAAAAATCTTGCATCTAAGACTAAATTATCAATCCGTAAGCTCCCTTTAGAATTTTATAAATTTTAGATTTTACATTTCTGAGTTATGGGGTTTTATTCATTAAAAAAGGGGGATTTTCCAGTTTTTGGACAACAACTCAAAAATGCTTTAAGCAGTTCACATGAAACTTTGGTGAATTATTTATAGCTATTGATGTAATCTCCCTATTGATTTTCATAAATTTCAAATATGACATTGAGAAGAAATTGAACTTTATTTGTTTATAGTCTGGCAACAGATTTATTAAGTATTGCACAACAGCACAGTGTATTTCACAACAGCAAGAAATCTTTAATTGAATATAAATTCAATTCATATAACTGATTTCAAGTTCATTGACTACATTTATTCAGAAACTATAATATGTCAAATGTTTAATTACAATCCAAATTCAGACCTGTATCAAGCTTGAATATTGTGTCCATTTTTGCCCCAGCTGTTCAGGGTAGTACCTCTGCGGGTGTATCCAGCTGCACTCAACGAATCAGTTTATTTCTTAATTAAGAACTCCTTTTCATACGACCGCAAAAAAATTTTTGTGGTCGTATATTGGTATGACGTTGGCGTCGTCGTCGTCGTCCGAAGACACATTAGTTTTCGCACTCTAACTTTAGTTTAAGTGAATGGATCTCAATGAAATTTTAAAATAAGGTTCAATATATATATACCACAAAAGTCTATGGATCTCTCTGACATTGTATCACAAGGTTCCATATCACAAAGGGAATGCTGGGATTGAATTTGGGGGTAATTGGCTCCAAATTTTAGGAATTAGGGGCCAAAAAGGGGCAAAAAACAAGCATTTTTCTAGTTTCATGGCAATAACTTGTGTGTAAGTGTATGGATCTTTATGAAATTGTACAACAAGGTTCCATATCACAAAGGGAAAGCTGGAATTGAGTTTGGGGGTAATTGCCCAAAAAGTTTAGGAATAAGGGGCCAAAAATAAGCATTTTTCTAGTTTCCAGACAATAACTTGTGTTCAAGTGTATGGATCTCTCTGAAATTGTACTGCAAGGTACCATACCACAAAGGGAATGCTGGGATTGATTTTGGGGGTAATTGCCTCCAAATTTTAGGAATTAGGGGCCAAAAAGGGGCAAAAAACAAGCATTTTTCTAGTTTCATGACAATAACTTGTGTGTAAGTCTATGGATCTGTCTGACATTGTATCACATGGTTCCATATCACAAAGGGAATGCTGGGATTGATTTTGGGGGTAATTGCCTCCAAATTTTAGGAATTAGGGGCCAAAAAGGGGAAAAAAACAAGCATTTTTCTAGTTTCATGGCAATAACTTGTGTGTAAGTGTATGGATCTTTATGAAATTGTACTACAAGGTTCCATATCACAAAGGGAAAGCTGGGTTTGAGTTTGGGGGTATTTGCCCTAAACGTTTAGGAATTTGGGACCAAAAAGGGGCCAAAAAACAAGCATTTTTCTAGTTTCCAGACAATAACATGTGTTCAAGTGTATGGATCTCTCTGAAATTGTACTGCAAGGTACCATACCACAAAGGGAAGGCTGGGATTGAGTTTTGGGGTGATGAATCATAAGGGGGTTCAAAAAATTTGGGGGGGGGGATTCTTTTTCCTTTTTTTTCTTTAAAATTTTCCATTTTAAATTGGTTATTTCTGATTTATATATAAAAGCAAATAATAATGATATGGTTTGAATAGGTAAATTAAATTTTTTTAAGTATCTTAGACCACTTTCATTCTGTGTCAGAAACCTATGCTGTGTCAAATATTTAATTACAATCCAAATTCAGTGCTGAATCAAGCTTGAATGTTGTGTTCATACTTGCCCCAACTGTTCAGGGTTCGACCTCTGCGGTCGTATCAAGCTGCGCCCCAGCGGAGTATTTTATTTCATTCATAAATTACTTTATGCTTGGAAATATAATTTTGCTTGGAGTTGAAAGAGTTGACATGTTGCAATGTACATTTACTCTACATAGTTCTATGGTACCAAATCAAAAGTTTATATAAAGAAAGAAGTCAAAGGTTTCCCATCATAGTTTAGTTACATACATTTTTTTTGTACCTGAGGTCGTTGAATATAGATCATTATATAAATAAGGAGATGTGTTATGATTGCCAATGAAAAAACTAAGGATTTTCTTATCCAAGGAATAGATTTCCTTAGCCAAATTTGGCACAACTTTTTGGAATTTTGGGTCCTCAATGCTCTTCAACTTTGTACTTGTTTGGCTTTGTTACTATTTTGATCTGAACATCACTGATGAGTCTTATGTAGACGAAACACACGTCTGGCGTATTAAATTATAATCCTGGTACCTTTGATAACTAATTTGACTATAAACATAGATAAAAAAGGTACAAACTGGACATAATGCACTAGTTCATAAACAAGTGAGAACTATCGCCTTCATATAGTGCTCAGAATATGACATTCATAAAACTTATTCAATATCATTAGAGAACTCTAAATCTTAAATACTGAAAGCCACCTCTGATAAGTACACTGTACTATGCAAGATAATGATATAACTGGACTTAAAATACACACAACCTGTAATTAACTGCCTTTACAGCGCTTTCGTGCTTTGATTGATTCAGCATACTACTGTCATGACTGTAGGAACATGACAATAGGGAGTCACGACTATACCACTTTAGTTTAGGGGTTAAATCATAATGTATCTACCATATATCTATTAAATAATCTAATATCTTCAGTTTCTATCTTTTTTTTTTGATAACTGTTTCCCTCTATTAAAATTAGTTTTAATTATTATTGTTGAAGATGTTTTTAAACTGAAAGCATACAGCATTTTAATATTAACAAAATATTTCATATGGAGCATAAAAGAGGATGCTCTAAAATAATTATCCCTACTGAAACTGTAAAATGGGTTATTCCCTCAAACTATAATGTATCATACTGTGATATAAACCTTTCATAATAATGTTTTGCCTCTACACAGATTTTACACAGAATTATTTGACAGGATGCAGACAGACTTTTATCAATATCTACTTTTAATAAAATTGTGTGATCATATTTCTAATACTTGTATAAATTGAATATTAAACAACACAAAACAAGCAAAAAATAATTGTTTCAACTCCAAACAACTGCCACAATGTCCTATACTAATGAACATGATTATGCCTAAAATTCTAACTAACTTTGTTTTATGTTGGTTTTTTGTCGATCCTGCGACTTTTGGTCGCAGAAAGCTCGATATAGAGATAGTGATCCGGCGGCGGCTACGGCGGCGGCGGCGGCGTTAGCTAACTTCTTAAAAGCTTTATATTTCAGAAGGTGGAAGACCTGGATGCTTCATACTTTGTATATGGATGCCTCATGTTACGAAGTTTCCGTCAGTCACATGTCCAATGTCCTTGACCTCATTTTTATGGTTCAGTGACTACTTGAAAAAAAGTTAACATTTTTTGTAATGTTAAATTCTCTCTTATTATAAGTAGTAGGATAACTATATTTGGTATGTGCGTACCTTGCAAGGTCCTCATGCCCGTCAGACAGTTTTCACTTGACCTCGACCTCATTTCATGGATCAGTGAACAAGGTTAAGTTTTGGTGGTCAAGTCCATATCTCAGATACTATAAGCAATAGGTCTAGTATATTCGGTGTATGGAAGGACTGTAAGGTGTACATGTCCAACTGGCAGGTGTCATCTGACCTTGACCTCATTTTCATGGTTCAGTGGTTATAGTTAAGTTTTTGTGTTTTGGTCTGTTTTTCTTATACTGTATGCAATAGGTCTACTATATTTGGTGTATGGAATGATTGTAAGGTGTACATGTCTAGCTGGCAGGTGTCATCTGACCTTGACCTTGTTTTCATGGTTCAGTGGTCAAAGTTAAGTTTTTGAGTTTTGGTCTTTTTTTCTAATACTATATGCCATAGGTCAACTATATTTGGTGTATGGAAATATTTTATGATCTATATGTCAGTCACGCAGGTTTTATATGACCTTGACCTCATTTTCACGGTTCATTGATCAGTGTTAAGTTTTTGTGTTTTGGTCTATTTTTCTTAAACTATAAGCAATAGGTCAACTATATTTGTTATATGGAAGAATTGTTAACTGTACATGTCTGCCTGGCACGGTTCATCTGACCTTGACCTCATTTTCATGGTTCTTTGGTCAATGTTTAGTTTTCTTGGTTAATGTTAAGTTTATGTGACAGTTGTAATAAAGCTTTATATTTAGGACTATCAACATAATATCAATGATTAGTAAAGAAGGCGAGACATTTCAGTGTGTGCACTCTTGTTTTATAATTATACTCATGAAGCTAAAAAAAAAATTAACTAATTTGAATCTTATAGAAAAAAAATTAGAATATATATTTATATCATCATTTAGGATCTGTTTTATATTGATAGTATCTACTGATAAAGGCCTACATTAAACGACTTTTTACATACAGGTGTTAACTGAGCTTCTTCTACATTGCTTTACTTTCCTTTTGATAGAAGTTGTTTAGATATATTAAAAAGTCATTCAAGAAATAGAAATAGAGAATTGCTGAACTAAAATTCATTTATTGTGAAAATTCTTTCAAGGTGTAGTACCACCAAAACATAGTACATCCAGTTTCATGCAAAAAAGGGTTGAATTTTTTTTTAATATTCCCTTTAATTTAATTTCATTGCAGAAAAGTTTTTTTGGGTCGTTAACACGTATCTTGGGTGTTTCAAAGCAATGAAAAAATTTATTTGGTGTTTCTATAAAATATTTTGGAAATTTAAGGGGACATGGCTACTTAAGCTTGTAAACAGGGAAAAAAGGGGGGAGAGGAATTTGATTGGTTAACTTCTGCTGATGTTTACTATCGTATATGCTCGTATATGCAATGAAAAGTTATGTTGTATTTTCATTGTAGTACTGGAAAGGATAAAAATTTACTCATGCCAAGTATTTCTTTATTTAAAACGTCAGATAAATTCTGCACAATTTTTTGAAAAATGCCAATTAAACAAGGACTAATTAGGGAAAATCAATTTATGTTAAATTTTCACTGTAGTACTGGACAGGATAAAACTTTACTCATGCCAAGTATTTCTTTATTTAAAACAAAGAAATAATCTGCACAATTTAAAAAAAAATGTCAATTAAACAGAGACTTAATAGGGGAAAAACAATGGTGGTATTAACCCCCTCAATCCAGCCTTCCAATAATGAATTACAACTTTTCCTAAAGTAGCCATAATTTTCTATAAAAGAACTAAGTTTGCTATTTTATAAAAAAATATATCCATTGTTCAGTTAGGGGCATTACTTAAACAAGTAATTTTCAAAATTACCTATACAAGTTATGTTGAAAACAAGGCTATTTTAAATATTACTTCTATATCATGTATAACTTTTGTTAATATTATTTTTATAGGTGTCCATTCATACAGGTTTTACTAGCTTTAACAAATTTTCACAGACATCTGGTTATTTTTCCCATGAAATATAAAACTAATCCTCCTGAAACACTAATTGCCTTTCTGATGCCACGCTTCTGGGTCAAAGATTGGTCTCTTGGGACTATCAAAATATCATTTTCCTTGAAAATCTTAATGGTAGACAGATATAAATAGATGACACCTTGTGATTTAATTAAGACTTGAAGTTATTTATAATTTGTAACCGTAAACAATTACATATGTTCTATGTTCCTTAAATAATTGGAAGTACTAAGTTTTTCAAAGATGTATAAAACATAACTTATAAAAGTAATATAAAAACTACATTTAGTCCATGCTTCTCCTGACATTTGAAATAATTATTGAGTTATTAAATAATTTTTAAAAACAAACAATACCTATATATATATATAAGTAACTAAAAAAAAATAACTTGTTAAAAAAGTTATTAAAAAAGGATGATAATAAATTTAATAAGAAAATATTTTAATGACTTTTACTTTTTGTGGAGACTTGACATTTCTTTCCAAGCACAGTACTATTGAAGAATTTCTTATCTATTTTATAGTTTTGTAAAATCATGCAAGTTGTATTTGAATAGACCGGATGTTTACACAGGTGTTAATTGAGCTTCCTCTATAATGCTTTACTTTCCTTTTTATAGAAGTGCTATAGATTTGATTGACATCTTAATGGATCATGATAATTATAGTCACATAAACTGCTGAATAGAGCCTACTTAAAAAGCTCCGAGCATGCTTGGAGCATGCTCGGAGCTTCCTCATAAGAATAAATCTATGATCCCTTAGTTGTGTGCATTTTTGTGAAACTGATCACTGGAAAAGAGAATTAGATTTTTACTATGACAATGTGAACATACATGTATCTGTGGTCATATGTGACACAAATATTCCATTAGTCTCAACTAATGTCATATTGAAATCATTTAATTCAGCAAACTGTGAAAGTACCTTTATTTGTGGGTATCAATTTTTGTTGCTTCAGCAAAAGTTACATGTTTGTGGATTCTAATTTTCTGAAAAAATGGAGTGAAGAATTTGCATCCATCCATAAAGAAGATTGTTGAACATAATTGACTTCACAGTATTTGCACCATGAACAATGTCATCTTATGTATGATTTATTCATAGTTTTTACATTTAATATAAACTCATATTGATACTCTTATTTCATTTATTTCGAATTATTTCATTTTCATTCTTTTTTTTTATAAAATGGAACTCATTAATCAGAAAATTTCAGGACATACACTTAGAGGTTTTGGACAATGGAGTAGGAAGGGTTTGCATTAAGAGTAGAAGATCTGTAGGTGCTGTTAATAATTTGCAGGTGAAATGCATGCTTTATTTGTTTCTAATAGCTACAGACTGAGGTCATATTAAGCATGGGTAAAATTGCATACTGCTGAATTTAAAATTGATGCTTCGACCAGTTATTTATATACCAATTGATTTAAAGCAATACTTCAGTATAAACTAAGTGAATGGCAGAAAAAAACCATTGCTGTTTTCATTTTTTTATTGTCATGGTTAATTAATAATCTACAGTTGCAAAGCTTTATTCTGATCTCCTTGCATGGTATCTGTTTAATGGTCATTGTTAATTACAAGGTAAACTGTTCACAATAAGTTTTTTGTTTGTTTGAATAGTATCTATGCTTTCAATGTTCTGAAGTCAAAATGCTGGACTGTCTATCATTAAAGTTTGTATTGTCTATAATGTACAGATGAAATGTTGCTAAATTACTGCTTCTATTTTATGTATTCACTACAGTCCAATCTATGTAGAATGAGATGAATGTAAACTTTCTTCATAATCTTTTAATAACAATTAAATTTACAAACAAACATATTTAAAAAAAAATCATATTCAATATAAATAATAACCTTCCATGAATTGAAAATGTTTTTGTGCTTTAATTTCTCTCAAAATATTGAAATCACTTGCTGCTATAATTTCCCTTTTTTCCCCTTAATTTCTCAGCAAAAATGCTCTTTAAAGCATTGTTTGTATGAAAATAAATATTTTCCTCCAAAAAATAAAATTAACTTATAAATCTGTCAGTTTTGCAATTCTTGCATGTTAAGGTCCGTAGACAAGATTTGAATAAATTTAAAAGAGACAAATAAAGTTCTGTCAACATTATAAAACGTTATCAGGCCCATCATCATCATTCATCATCAGGTGTTGGGAAACTATTTATTTCATCTCCTTTGAAACCAATTGTCCAACTTTTAGCAGGAATGATGTATGGAATGTCTTATACAAATGATCATCATTTGGTTCTGATCAGACCAATAACAGAGACGATCTTAGATGCCAATCGAATATTAATCAAAAATATTTTCCTCCTGAAATTGCATGGTGAAATATTTCAAATTTTTTGGATTGGATAGAAAAAAGCTAAATTGTTAGAAATTGTCTTCTCTTGAGTAAAGGGAGTGATTTGACAGGTTAACTATTCTGGTTTCTAGTAGCCTCTTGTTTAATGTATATGGCTTTATGTATGGCATAAATATGTTTGGTTTTATTACTAGGAAATTGATGACATGATGAAAGTTGCTGTAGAAGCTGAGCAGACTGGATGCTCCTATATAGAATGTGATGCTAACATGCCACCAATAGGAACACGTGTGCGGAGAGGTCCTGACTGGAGATGGGACAATCAAGATCTAGAAATGCCAGGAACTGTTGTATCACATACTAATACTGGTAAGTTTTATACTGTTCTCTTTAGTTTTATTGTTCAACGTTTGTAAGTAAATATAACCAAGCATAACACAATTGAACACCAAGTTAATGCCATGTACACATTTTCTTCTGTGTTTTCTATATAAAGATAAGAAGGTGTGGTATAATTGCCAATGAGACAACTCTCCACCAGAGACCATATGACGTAGAAGTTAACTATAGCTTAACTAAAGGTCACCATACAGCAATGAGCAAAACCCATACCACATATTAAGCTATAAAAGGCCTGAAATGACAAATGTAAAACAATTCAAACAAGAAATCTAACTAGTATACATGTAATAGAAAAAACAAAGGATATGGGGTATCTATCCATGACACAAAATCAGTACATGCACAGCAAAAAAACACAAAAAGCAAAGGAACAGCGCTTTAATTGCTGTTCTTCATCTCAAAGTCACAGTGAGGACTTCAACATGGAGCAAAAAAAAAAACTCTCACCTCACTGCAAGTTTAAGACGGTCCCTATCACCCTCTTGAGTGGAATTCTTTGCAAAAATAAATTTGAATAGACTTTGTAAGTTGTAACACCACCTGAACGGGTCCGGTCAAAAAAGATGTGTTTACTACATTTACATTAATACAGTCAAAAAGGAAATTTTTGATGTCTACTGAAGTGAGTGTGGGTCCATTTAGTCAGTAGTACAAAACATTTACTACAAGTCCTACACGTTTACTTTTAATATGTGCTTGAAAATAAACAAGTTTGCATTAACTTTTTTAGTAAATTAAAGATAAAATGCTCCTTACAAAATCACTTGATTTTGTTTAAAATTCTTATTTTAAAAACTACAATTCTTTAAAAACTGTATTTTCATCCAAGCCTCCTGAGATTTTGATTTAAAGTCTTCTACTCAATACAATGTATCACTGTCAACATTTTATAATTGTTGAAAATAAAAAATAACTTAATTATCCCTTTACAAAATTGTTTTTATAATATACTTCAAAACTGTATTTAAAAAAATATGTTGTATATGTATTCTACATTCTATATGGGAGAGTTTAACCTGGTGTCGTGAATATGGGCCAAGAGACTTTAGAACGCAATGTAATGTAATAGTTTTGCGGACTTTCTCGCACACTACTGTAATGTAACATAACGCTGTTGTTACGTATCTACTGATCTATAGCATCATAAAGCATCTCAACTAGCAGGACGTTATTTTCTTTATACAATTCTAATAAGTAAATAACCCTCAAGATACCTGGCAATGCATACTTCAAGAAATAAAACAGATGACAAATGATAGATCAGAATAATTCATTGTCAGATATAATGTTAGTCTGTCAAAGAAACACACTGACTGTTCAAAACATTGTAGGCAGGCACTTATCCCCTGTCTTGAAACTTGGAAAAATATTTATAAGATATCTTCTAAAGTATATTAGATATTTTATAAAGTTTATTAGATATCTTATAAATATTTTTTATATAATATATCTTATATACTTTATAAGATATCTCATATATTTTATAAGATATCTAATATAGTTTATAAGATATATCATATAGTTTATAAGATATCTCATAATTTATAAGATATCTTATAAAGAAAATTATATGAGATATCTTATAAATTATATGCGATAGCTTATAATTTATATGATATATTTTATAAACTATATAAGATATCTTATAAACTATATAAGAAATCTTATAAACTATATAAGATATCTTATAAACTATATGAGATATCTTATAAACTATATAAGATATCTTATAAACTATATGAAATATCTTATATAGTTTATTAGATATGTTGAAGTTAGAATAATTAGTAAAACGGCTTGCCATACATTGTATCCAGGATACCATGACAATCTGCATTAATGTGTGCTTAGTCGAATAAAATGTGCTTTTACTTTTAATCAAAATACCTCTTATTTTTCAAATTAATGCAGAGGTGAACTCCAAAGTAAAAGAGCATTTAATTTTTTTTGTCCACTGCATCTTTGAGGTATGGTATTTACATTAAGTGCACATGAATTAATGCTGTGATATTTTTTGTGTTCGTTTATATGTTATGCTTGGTCTGTCCTAACTGTATGTTAGATTTTGTAATATAAGATATATGTGTCATTCTAGAATAAACATGTGTTGTAAATATATGTGTCATTCTAGAATATATATATGTGTTGTAGATATATGTGTCATTCTAGAATATATATGTGTTGTAGATATATGTGTCATTCTAGAATGTATATGTGTTGTAGATATATGTGTCATTCTAGAATATATATGAGTTGAATGAAGTTTGGTAATATTGAGTGTTTATATTTTTGTAGGACATATTTGGGTAGAGTGGGACTTTGGTAATATCAACAGATATCGTTATGGAGTAGAAGGATGTTACGATGTTGTAACATCAGAGGATCCTCGACTTCTTGAAGATCAGATTATAGCCGTTGGTTGTGTTGTCAGAAGAAGTAAGTACAATGATTCTATATATGTACATTTGCATTGTCTTTTTTTAGTCCCCTACCGACAAAGTCGAAGGGGACTTTAGGTTTGCACTCCGTACGTCTGTCTGTCTGTCAGTCCGGCAAATCAGTTTTCCACACTTTTTTTCTTTGTACTTGAAGATATTGATTTGATATTTGGTGTATTGTTTTATCATGACAAGTTACAGATCAAGTTTGAATTTTGTTCCGGTTTGATGTTTTTGTGCAGAGTTTTGGTCCTTGGACTTAGAAAATTCACTCAAATAATCAGTTTTCTGCACTTTTTTTTCGTCATGCTTGAAGATATTTATTTGATCATTGGTATATAGTTTTATCATGACAAGTTACAGATCAATTTCGAATTTTGTTCCGGTCTTAGAAAATTCACTTAAATAATAAGTTTTCCACACTTTTTTTCGTCATGCTTGAAGATATTGACTTGATATTTGTTATATAGTTTACACCATGACAAGTTATAGATCAAGTTAGCATTTTGTTCCAGTACAATGAATTTTTAACCGGTAGGGGACTATGTATTGCCATGCAATATTCTCAGAATGCTTGTTTTTGTCATAGTGAATTCCTTTCTGTTTGTCCAGCAAATATTTTTGTCACACTTTTCTCATTTACACTGAACAGAATGACTTCATATTTAGTCAGCAGCTTGACAATGATGAATTATAACAGGTTAGCACTTATTGGAGATGTCAGACACCTTCTTCAAGTTTGCCATTACTTTTTCAATTTGTTGAATGGACTTCAACTTTTCACAAATGTTTCCTTCACACTTAAATGAACTTTCGATTTTCAAATGAAATGTAAACGGGAAGTGACAAGTAGATTATAAATTCAGAATGAATCCGGATTCATCAACGGATTGGTTCGTGTTTTTAAAAAGGCAGGAAATTATCATTTTTTTATTTCAATTTGCTTAGTAAGAACTATATTTGTCTCTCTCATTTATTTTGGCACTAAATTTATTTCGTATTTTACGCTTTTTATAGTGTCTGTAAATTTATAGTAATACTTTCACGCATGCTTAGTATATCCTAAAGGAATCACCTGTTTGACTCGTTGATGATGATGGAAGTTTTTAACGTGAAAATATTTTTGAACGTTTTGAATAAAGTTCTATCTTTTTAATTGAAATTGAACGTTTTATATCAAAGATGACGAAAATACGATCATTTGACAAAACTACGACAAACGACTGCAAAATATGATCGTTTTAGAAATATTGAAATTTAAAAGCGAACTGTCCGGAGGAAAACAATTTTGTTCAAATGACGAAACTACAACAAACCAACTGCAAATTGTGGTCGTTTGCCTTGATAAATATTGAAATTAAAACGCAGACTGACTGATTTTACTGGGGAAAATAATTAACCGGATTAGTGACCCAACCGATGACGATAAGCGGATTAGCTGTAATCACAACTTTAATTTATAACACCTGTTGTAAATGTTAATTAGCTGAGGGTCATAAACTTGTCAGAAACATGTAGACAGGTAGAATTATAGTATTTTCATGCGAAAATATTTTTGCACTTTCCAAGTTTAAGTGACGAAATTGATTTGAAATTTGAAATACTTTTGTCATTTTGAAAACAGTTTCGTAAATGACGAAAGTGACGAGGGCTAGCAAAATCACTGAATATGCTGTAATATTTGTCACGAGACCGTTACCAAACAATATTAATAGCTTATCTAAAGTGATGAATTATGTTGAAAAAACTGTAACTTTTACATATTTCATCTTTCAGGTGATGGATGGAAAGATGGTCATACAGAAGATGGTGGGTCTGGGAAGACAGGGTCTGTCTTTATTGTTCATGATGATGGTACAGTTCAGGTCAGTATGCTGACCAGTCTCTTTAATCTATGATAATTAATGTTATTTACCTACAGGATCAAAAGTTCATCTTCTGGTAATTGCCTTGGAAGACTCTTGGTAGTGTGCTTGCCTGGAGTTCAGTAGGTCATTTGTTTGATCCCAGCTGTATTGTACCAGAATTGAAAGTTGATATTATACCTCACTCAAGGAGTGTGGGAGTGGTGTGGGTTCTTTGAAAACTAATTATTGATATCATTTTGGAGGATATTTTACAATTACATTCTTAGTAGTGGCCTGATAAATATTCACTTTAAACTAACTGATTTTTATATGACCGCAAACAAATTTTGAGGTCGTATATTGGTATGACGTTGGCGTCGTTGTCGTCGTCCTCGTCTGAAGACACATTAGTTTTCGCACTCTAACTTTAGTTTAAGTGAATGGATCTCTATGAAATTTTACCATAAGGTTCAATACCACAAAAGGAAGGTGGGGATTGATTTTGGGGGTTATAGTACCAACAGTTAAGGAATTAGGGGCCAAAAAGGGGCCAAAAATAAGCATTTTGTAACTTCCAGACATAACTTGTGTGTTAGTGTATGGATCTCTCTGACATTGTACCACAAGGTTTCATATCACAAAGGGAATGCTGGGAATGATTTTGGGGGTAATTGCCTCCAAATTTTAGGAATTAGGGGCCAAAAAGGGGCAAAAACAAGCATTTTTCTAGTTTCATGACAATAACTTGTGTTCAAGTGTATGGATCTTTATGAAATTGTACTACAAGGTTCCATGTCACAAAGGGAAAGCTGGAATTGAGTTTGGGGGTAATTGCCCAAAACGTTTAGGAATAAGGGGCCAAAAAGGGGCCAAAAATAAGCATTTTTCTAGTTTCCAGACAATAACTTGTGTTCAAGTGTATGGATCTCTCTGAAATTGTAATGCAAGGTACCATACCACAAAGGGAAGGCTGGGATTGATTTTGGGGGTAATTCCCTCAAAATTTTAGGTATAAGGGGCCATAAAAGGGCAAAAAACAAGCATTTTTCTAGTTTCAGGACAATAACTTGTGTATAAGTGTATGGATCTTTATGAAATTGTACTGCAAGGTTCCATATCACAAAGGGAAAGCTGGGTTTGAGTTTGGGGGTAATAAACTAAACGTTTAGGAATTTGGGGCCAAAAAACAAGCATTTTTTCTAGTTTCCAGACAATAACTTGTGTTCAAGTGTATGGATCTCTCTGAAATTGTTCTGCAAGGTACCATACCACAAAGGGAAGGCTGGGATTGAGTCTGGGGGTGATGAATCATAAGGGGGTTCAAAAAATTTGGGGGGGGGATTTTTTTTTCCTTTTTTTTCTTTAAAATTTTCCATTTTAAACTGGTTATTTCTGATTTATATATAAAAGCAAATAATAATGATATTGTTTGAATAGGTAAATTAAAATTTTTTAAGTTCTTAGACCACATTCATTCTGTGTCAGAAACCTATGCTGTGTCAAATATTTAATTTCAATCCAAATTCAGTGCTGTATCAAGCTTGAATGTTGTGTCCATACTTGCCCCAGCTGTTCAGGGTTCGACCTCTGTGGTCGTATCAAGCTTCGCCCCAGCGGAGCATTTTATTTTCTTTGTGTAGAGAAAAGTTTATGTATCTTTATAGGTGAGATGGTCCAATGGGAAAATGGGAAGATATCAGTGTGGATTTGATGGCCTTTCTGAAGTTGAAATTTGGTAAATATCAGGTTTCCTTTTTCTCCTTTTTTCTTTAATATGCTTTCAAATTGATTTATCATATTGCTTCCTCGCATATTGTATAGATATTAGATAACTGAGTTTCACTCTGTAAAGATTTTTTCTGTATCAGAATTCCACTAAAGCGCATAGTGGATGTATTGTGTCTTTGCAATTACACAAAAAAGGATATTACTTATTATTGTTAAAGTAATAGATCTAAAGGGTTTACAAATATTTCAATCATTATTTACTTACGCCACTGTGTATGACTTTGGTAGTTTTCTTTATTTTAAGTGATCCTTTTCACCAAAGACAGTTAGACAGCTTGCCAATAGCAGCTGGTGGTGAACCTGCCCCTAATGTTCTCCCCAAGGAGGAGGAGGAGCTGGAGGAAGATCCAATGGTAGCAGAAATGAACAGAAAGAATGCACTGAGATCTCAGGAAGTCTCTAGTCAACAAGCTCAGAACTCAGATAATATACAGAGAGATAAACAAACATCAGGCTCAAAACTTACAGAACAAGCATCTAGCAAACAGCCAATCACCAAAGATCAATCGTCTGACGACAATATGAAAGTTCACACAGGTATAAATATATAAAACAAAAATAGGCAGAAGATGAACTTTTTAGTCAATGTGGATTAGTTCATGTGAACCAAATATTGTGGATTGAGGAACAATTGTATTTCAGGGTTTTATTAAAATGTCTGCATATCTACAAGCCTATAGAAAATTTCCTATAACTGCAAAATCCAGGAAAATTGGTATACCATGAATAATAACTAAGCCACAATTAGTTCACTAGGAAAAAATTGTTACATTTATATTTATACTGATGGAGGAGGTAACATGATCAGAGCAATTATTTGGCAGCTGAATCAGGAAAATTCTTAAATTCTTTCAAATTATGTTTGTTTAACCCTAACTATGCCAAAAGCCTATAGGGGAAATTCGCCTAATTGCGGACACTTTTTCAAATCCGGAAGTTTGGATACCGTCAAGGCCAATTGCGGACATACTGGTGTTTGCATTTGACAGGAGAGGATAGAGGGGTATCAAATGGACTATTTCCCGCGTTTTCAGGTCTCCTCTCTTGATTTGTAGATTGCAAACTCTTAAAACCCGCGGAAATACCGAGAAGGGTAAATGCGGACAGGGGGAGTTAAAATACGGACACCTTGTCATCAAATTGCGGACACTTATTTTTAAACATTTCTTGCTATTCAAAACGCAGATATTATGCATATATAACATTAGCTCGCATGAATACCCCTCAGGAATACCCTTTCAGTGCATCTTAAAGCATGTTTGAGAATGGTTTTCTCGCATTAACTGGTAATACATGTGGAAAGGTGAGAAAAAATAAGATTAAAAAAGTTCATTAAATATCCTATACCACACCAATTATTAAATGATATAAGATGGTACTGACAACTTCCATCGGGATATTGTCTTCCAAGATGCATGCGTGCATATATACGAAATATAGTTGTGATAACTTTCAATTTAAAATCGTATGGCATTCATTGTAATGTGTTTTAATGTCCTAATCACTTAAAAATCCGTAGCCCTCACTCAAGAGCATAAGATGCCTTGAGGCGAGATTTTTTTATTTGCATTTTCCGATACTTATAAGATAATTTTATTAAGGCCCCGCCGAATGGCGGACGCCCTATAGTGATCAGTCTGTCCGTCCGTCCATCCGTAACAAATTGTGTCCGCTCTATATCTAGAGAACCGTTATGATTTCAAAGTTTATATTGACATGTATATTAACCAACACCAGAGGGTGTGTCATAATTTATGTACAACTTCCTAGGTCAAAGGTCAAGGTCAAAAACTTTGGTTTTAGTTGACAACCCCATGTCCTATGGTAAAAATCGTTTCCGCTCTATATCTTGAGAACCGTTATGCTTTCAAAGTTTATACTTGACATGTATATAAACCAACACCAGAGGGTGTGTCATAATTTATGTACAACTTCCTAGGTCAAAGGTCAAGGTCAAAAACTTTGGTTTCAGCTGACAACCCCATGTCCAATGATAAAGATACACATTTTTTACCACACATTATTCACAGCGTTGCCCACAGAGATGGCTCCCATCTCAATGATATCTAGTTTATCCTCGGGTTTCTATGTACTCTTTGACAAACATGATTTTTTGCGGCCCATCCAACACCATGAACATCTGAAAACAGTTTATGGAATGGGTAAAAAGGGTTAATTTTTAAGAATTGTTAAATCAAAAATGGGAAAACGCAAGGTGTGAGGGAACATGCAAATTTTGTAAATTGGAATGTTAAAAAAAAAATAAGAATATGGAAAAATAGACACCAAAAATTTTAGGGAGTTATGGAAAAGTCAGTATTATGTTTAGTTTTATATGCATTGTCTATCATTTGTTGTTTCTAATGTATTGGTCTTTTGTTGGGCAATGTATGACAAATATATGTTGAAGAACCTAGCCCGTAATTATAAATTATGTAATTCATTGACCGCTCCCGACATGTGTAACTTCAAAGCATAGTTTAGCGGCGATCGATGTCTTTCAAAATTACTGCACTTTTCTTGTATCCCTGGTGCTTTCGACTTGAGAACCGTCGTACACAAGCATCGCACAAGTTGGCACTCCGAGGCGGGTAGGGAGCAAAGATGTGAACTTTGGTTTATTTTTATCAATAGTACCGCTTAAGTCGACGCTAGGGGCCGTCTTGACCTTGTAGGATATGAATGATTCGTTCATTGTTGAAGACCCTACTTCAACTGTCAAGATGAAGAACAGGAATAAAAGCCCTGTTCATTGATAACTTTTTATTTTTTTCTATGTATTGTGTGCTATTTTGTCCCATGTACATTTACTCCATATCCTTTATTTTCTCTTATGAATACTGACCCATGTCACTCCTCAATGAAGGGTCTTGCTGGCTTAAGTCCAATATCTCGAAAATAAAAAGTAAAAAAAAATGAAAGGGAGCTTCCCCTAATGTTACTAAGTGTTGTGCTAAAATTTCTTTAAAAATCTGTCGGAGTAAATTTGAGTTATCCTACGACATAGAAAGTGTAGACGGACGGATGAAAAGACGGGCAGAGTGATTACTATAATAGGGCACCCGCCAAAAGTCGACAGGCCATAATAAAGACGTAGTGCTGGAGATTGTGGTCACGCATGATGATACGCTATTGGCGTTCGTTGCATTTCGTTACATATATACTTTTTTCTATATAATGCCTGTTCTCTGACCAATAATGGCATCGGATTTGATCCGACTGGCGAAAGGATACCAGCGTGTGTAGAACATGCATACCTAGTTCTGTGCCTTAGATGAAATGTCTAAAACACAACAGGTTAACGATAGGTGCAAAGGATGATTAATTACTAACATTAATTCGTCCATGCAGGTAAAAAAAAAAACAAACGTGAGGCATACGTTGTTCACATGAGAAAATTACCGAACCAAATATGGAAGATGCAGGTGATACAGTTTCACCCGAGGAGGAGGATGAGGACGAGGAAGAGCTTATCAAAACTTTTTAGATATTAAATAGGTTACATTTGAATTGCTATATGAATACAAAGCTTTTAGTTTATGATTATTTCATAACTAAAGAAAATAAGTTTTTGATTACCAAAGCAAATATTTAATGATTATGTGATTATGCTGGCAAAAATTTGGTGATTATGCGATTACTGGTATCTCCCCATGAGGGGCCTTGTTTGTTTTTCGATTTGCCACAGACGGATGGACAAACAGACAGACAGACGACTGGATGCACAAAGTCGTTACTGTTGGACGCTCACAAAAGTCTAAAGAGGTCTTTAAAACCAATGTATTAGTTACATTATTTCTATCATGTTTTGAAAAAAAAGTTTTATGAAAACATTTCTTTCAAAAGAATATTCGTGATATCAATAATTTTATCTGTCTCTTCCGCAGTACGAATGTCCCACTCTTTACCTCTTATATTTGATTTTCTAGCAATAAACACAATGCTGCTGAATTCATTTCCCTTATCACTTTTCGCATAGTAGTGTTGATACATATTCATGTTTTGATAAACGTATTAATTTCATAAATAAATAGCCAATAACATCATTATCAAATAGCCACTCGTCTACGAGACATTGTTGCAATTTCATTCGGGTGATTGTTTTCTGTACATTTTATTTCATTCCATTTGCTTTCGCAAAATGTCCTAAACATGTAGACATTCTGTAAAGAAAGAGAAATAGATTGGCTTGCCATCCCGGGGATGACATTTACAGTTTTTGACCTATTGAAGATGTGTGCAAGTTGCCAACTGGAGTGGAAATCAGACTTGTAAACGCATTATGTTCGTAATATGCAAAATGAAAGCAAATCAAATAAACCCAACTCAAAACTTTATTGATATAAATGTATCGGATTGAAACTAATAATGCTAGATTATAAGAGAGTTTTGTTTATTTCCGTCATCATGGAATTGATATATGCCCCACTGCACGTGTTAGTTGTTCAAAATATCTTGTGTCCGCATTTCGGCTATCATATTATTTTCGGTGGCGAAAATGCGGACACTTGCTTATTCCTGTTTTGTAATCAAAATTTAGACAAATCAGTAAAAATAATTAAAAGAAATGTTTCCTTGCATAAAATACGCAATGCCTATCGCTTTTCAACACATAAATTGCCATTCTTACATGAGCAACTGTGTATTGAATGTGACACGCTGACTTTGGACCTTTTTCAAAATTTTCCGGTTTTCAAACTTGTTGACATAAGCTATTTATAGCATGCAATTTCAATCACATGACATAAAAGTAAATCGTAAGCAATAGACATAATAACTTTATCGCAACAAAATAGAGATTCAATAGTAAACAAAACACCTTATTTATTATATCTATTTTATTTCAATTTTTCATAATTTTATTGAAAAGTGAGATATTCGTTTTCCGTCCGCATATCGGCGCTGTCCGCAATTAGGCGATTTTCCCCTATATCAGCTTTTCATGTTTAATAAGTGCTGAGAGCTGACTTATCTACTTCATTTTTTTTCTGTTTTGTCGTTAATCACATCACAAAGGCAATGACTCCTCAAAGTTGTAATCATGATGGCCTACAATGCCCTGTTGTTCTCCTCAAAGCTCCTAGGGTGTAATCATGATGGCCTGCAATGCCCTGTTGTTCTCCTCAAAGTTCCTAGGATGTAATCATGATGGCCTGCAATGCCCTGTTGTTCTGGGTTGTCCTAGGATGTAATCATGATGGCCTGCAATGCCCTGTTGTTCTGGGTTGTCCTAGGGTGTAATCATGATGGCCTGCAATGCCCTGTTGTTCTGGGTTGTCCTAGAATGTAATCATGATGGCCTGCAATGCCCTGTTAATCTGGTATGTCCTAGAATGTAATCATGATGGCCTGCAATGCCCTGTACTCTCGGTTGTCCTAGGGTGTAATCATGATGGCCTACAATGCCCTGTTGTTCTGGGTTGTCCTAGGGTGTAATCATGATGGCCTGCAATGCCCTGTTGTTCTGGGTTGTCCTAGGGTGTAATCATGATGGCCTGCAATGCCCTGTTGTTCTGGGTTGTCCTAGGGTGTAATCATGATGGCCTGCAATGCCCTGTTGTTGTTGGTTGTCTTAGGGTGTAATCATGATGGCCTACAATGCCCTGTTGTTCTTGGTTGTCCTAGGATGTAATCATGATGGCCTGCAATGCCCTGTTGTTCTGGGTTGTCCTAGGGTGTAATCATGATGGCCTGCAATGCCCTGTGGTTCTCGGTGGTCCTAGGATGTAATCATGAGTTATGGAGTTTTATTCATTAAAAAAAGGGGGGTTTTCCAGTTTTCGGACAATAACTCAAAAATGCTTTCAGCAGTTCTCATGAAACTTTGAGAATTGTTTCTATCTATAGATGTTAGCTCCCTTTCAATTTTTATAAATTTAAGATTATACACTTCGAGTTATGGGATTTTATTCATAAAAAAGGGGTGATTTTCTAGTTTTTGGACAATACCTTTAAAGTGCTTTGAGCAGTTTTCATTAAACTTTGGTTACTGGTTTATATCAATTAAGATAACCTCCCTTTAGTTTTTCACAAATTTCTGATATGACATTGAGAAGTTATTGAAATTTATTCGTAAAAAATGCGAAGGGCGTATCATGCGCTCATGGCGCAGCTGTTTATTTTTCTTACTAGCTGCTGCACATCTATATAAATTATGTTGTATGAAACAATTATTTCACCTAATGAAAAAATATTCAAGAGGTTCAACTGACAGAAGTTAAACAAACTAACAGCTGTATAAAGGGAACAACTTAATATACATTTTGTGATCCTAGTTGAAATTATTATTATAAAGCTATGATGCTCCAATATGCGAAATAGTTTTTTGTGTACTATTTAGGTTGACAACTTGCAGTTTTTTTAAATTTGAATTAGTTGGATTGTGGTTTATTCTATATGATTAAGGTTTTTATCACATACTTAAGTCTAAGTCATTTGAATTTTATGGAAGCAGGACATTACAACAACAAAAAAAGAAGAAAAATAAGAAGGAAGAAGGGGGCTAAATAACAACAACAGACACACATAACGGCCAAATCAAAAATGAATAAAAAAACAAAATATTGGACAAGATAGACTCAAATGTCAGTTTTCTACTATAATAAAATGCATTTTAATTTTAAGCCAGAAATCATTTTTTCAAGAATATTTAAGTTTACAAGAATTGTTTTAAGTATTTCTTTTACAAGTTTGAAATGTAAAAATTGTATACAATTTAGAGCAATTACCAGTAAGAAGTAGTGACACTAGAACAGACAGACCAAGGGATAACATAAAATCTTCACAAAGTGAAAGATCAAGGCCAAAATTAAGATTAGATATTCCAAAGTCTGGAAGCTCTGATAGTATTGATAATACAGGGATAGATGAAATACCAGGTAATATAGGATATTGTACCATGATTTTGATTTAACCAGTTTTATGAGACTTATGGGAAATTTTATCTTTTTTTGGACTATCATACCACAATGTCAGACAGCTTTTGAACTCAACTCCTCTGAGATCAGTTGACAAAAAGCTCTCCTACTTATCAGGATTATTTACCACCATATGTAATTGACCATATTATACAATCATTTTGATTTAACCATTAGTATAGGAGTTTTGGAACTTTTGACCTTTTTTTGGACTATCCTACCTCAATGACAACTTGTGAATACAACTCCTCAGAGACTGTTTGATAGAAAGTTATTATGCTTGATCTGATGATTTTAGCCCTTATCAACTGATTTTTATTGTTTGTTCTTATGTTATGCTGTTACACCACTGTCCTAGTTTAGGGGGAGGGTTTGGTAACTGCAAACATGTTTAACCCTCCAACATTGTGTATCATGTGCCTGTTCCAAGTCAGGAGCCTATGATTTGTTGGTTGTTGTTTGTTGCTATATATCATGTTTATTTTTAGGTTTTGTCGAGCCTGTGTCTTTTGTCGCAGAAAGCTCGACATAGGGATAGTGATCCGGCGGCGGAGGCGGCATTAGCTAACTTCTTAAATGCTTTATTTTTTAGAAGGTGGGAGATCCGGATACTTCATACTTTGTATATGGATGACTCATGTTACGAAGTTTCCGTCAGTCACATGTCCAATGTCCTTGACCTCATTTTCATGGTTCAGTGACTACGTAAAAAAAAAGTTAAGATTTTTTGTAATGTTAAATTCTCTCTTATTATAAGTAATAGGTTAACTATATTTGGTATGTGCATACCTTGCAAGGTCCTCATGCCCGTCAGTCAGTTTTCACTTGACCTCGACCTCACTTCATGGATCAGTGAACAAGGTTAAGTTTTGGTGGTCAAGTCCATATCTCAGATACTATAAGCAATAGGTCTAGTATATTCGGTGTATGGAAGGACTGTAAGGTGTACATGTCCAACTGGCAGGTGTCATCTGACCTTGACCTCATTTTCATGGTTCAGTGGTTATAGTTAAGTTTTTGTGTTTTGGTCTGTTTTTCTTATACTGTATGCAATAGGTCTACTATATTTGGTGTATGGAATGATTGTAAGGTGTACATGTCTAGCTGGCAGGTGTCATCTGACCTTGACCTCATTTTCTTGGTTCAGTGGTCAAAGTTAAGTTTTTGAGTTTTGGTCTTTTTTTCTTATACTATATGCAATAGTTCAACTATATTTGGTGTATGGAAATATTTTATGATCTATATGTCAGTCACACAGGTTTTATTTGACCTTGACCTCATTTTCAAGGTTCATTGCTCAGTGTTAATTTTTTGTGTTTTGGTCTGTTTTTCTTAAACTATAAGCAATAGGTCAACTATTTTTGTTGTATGGAAGAATTGTTAGCTGTACATGCCTGCCTAGCATGGTTCATCTGACCTTGACCTCATTTTCATGGTTCATTGGTCAATGTTTAGTTTACTTGGTTAATGTTAAGTTTATGTGACAGCTGTAATAAAGCTTTATATTTAGGACTATCAACATAATATCAATGATTAGTAAAGAAGGAGAGACATTTCAGCGTGTGCACTCTTCTTTCATCAGGCCTTTAGTTTTCTTGTTTGAATTGTTCTACATTTGTCATTTATTGGTCTTTTATAGCTTGGCATTTTGTATGGGTGTTGCTCATTGTTGAAGGCAGTGCAGTGACCTATAGTTGCTGACTTCTATGTCATATGGTCTCTGTTTGAGAGTAGTTTCATTGGCAATCATACCACAACTTCTTGTTTTTTCTATTGGTGGGAGTGTTTGCCATCATATGTAGTTGACCATATTATACTGTCATTTTGATTTGACCATTTTTATTGGAGTTCTGGGACTTCCACTATTTCTATTATCCCGCCACAATGACAACTTGTGAAGCATTTCCTCTGAGAACCTTTGACAGAAAGTTCTCATACTTTGTCAGATTGTTTGTGATAATGTTTAATTCACAACAGTGTACTATCATTATGATTCCACCATTTTTTCGACTGTTGTTATACAATGACACCATTTTTTACCTATTGAATAACAAGAACAAATACAAAAGCTCTAAATACACTTTATAATGTAATCTATGTTCCTGTTCTACAGGTCTATACTGTACACACAATTTTATTCCTAATTTATACTGTGGTCAGGGACATTAAGCTATGGCCTAGCAATCTTGTTCTATTTGTTTGAATGTCTAAGAGAAACAGATGTTCCCCCCTTTATGAACTATTTAAATGGAATAGATGCAAAGAAAAATAGCCATTTCACTGGATTTGCAAATCCTCTGTTGATTTTATTACTTCTGAAGATACAGTACAATCTTATGAAATAAATTTGTTTTTAAAGCTGTTGTTGATACTAGGAAAATAATTTGTTTTTAAGACAACGACAACAAGTTTTTTTTTAATGACCTTGACTACCCATGAGGGTCTTGCACGGTCGGCCCTGGCCTACGCCTTTTTGGGCATTTGAATAATTTATTTTTACCTTATGGTAATTGTACTGTTTTTTAGAGGCTTTTGATACTTTGAAAATAATTTTTATAACTTTAAGTTATGCATTATTGATTTTTATTTAATTCTCAAGAAATAAGTATAGCGTCGCCTGGTGAAGGCCTTTGGCAGTACAAAGATGGGTATGGTGGATGGAAAGCTTATAGTAAAGAACAAAGTGATAAACTAGAAAAAGGATATTGTCATAACCCAAAAGGAGTCTCACTTATTACTGTTGGGAAGTCACAGTGAGTACCGTACAATTAAATTGTTTTTATTCTAAACTTTCTTCTAAATGCAGATACAAATGATACTGCCTAGCAAATTTTCAAATCTACAGATGTGACTTGACAACTGTCATATATCTGCTGCTTTTCCTTTATTCCTTGTCTGTGATTATAAATCCTAGTGTGATGCCACATTTACCAAACAACACCTTAAATCCTATTGGTCTTAGTATGACACACATTTACCAAACACACCTTAAATCCTATTGGTCTTAGTGTGATGCCATATTTACCAAGCACACCTTTATCCTATTAGTCATAGTGTGATACCACATTTACCAAACACACCTTAAATTCTATAGGTCTTAGTGTGATGCCACATTTACCAAACACACCTTAACTCCAATAAGTCTTAGTGTGATACCACATTTACCAAACACACCTTAAATCCTATTGGTCTTAGTGTGATGCCATATTTACCAAACACACCTGAAATCCTATAAATCTTAGTGTGATACCACATTTACCAAACATGCCTAAAATTCTATCGGTCTTAGTGTGATACCACATTTACCAAACACACCTTAAATTCTATAGGTCTTAGTGTGATGCCACATTTACCAAACACACCTTAACTCCTATTAGTCTTAGTGTGATACCACATTTACCAAACACACCTTAAATCCTGTAAGTCTTAGTGTGATGCCACATTTACCAAACACACCTTAAATCCTATGAATCTTAATGTGATGCCACGTTTACCAAACACACCTTAAATTCTATAGATCTTAGTGTGATGCCACATTTACCAAACACACCTTACATTCTATAGGTTTTAGTGTGATGCCACATTTACCAAACACACCTTAAATCCTATTAGTCTTAGTGTGATACCACATTTACCAAACACACCTTAAATCCTATAGGTCTTAGTGTGATGCCACATTTACCAAACACACCTTAAATCCTATAGGTCTTAATGTGATGCCACATTTACCAAACGCACCTTAGATTCTTTAGGTCTTAGTGTGATGCCACATTTACCAAACACACCTTAAATTCTATAGGTTTTAGTGTGATGCCACATTTACCAAACACACCTTAAATCATATTAGTCTTAGTGTGATACCACATTTACCAAACACACCTTAAATCCTATAGGTCTTAGTGTGATGCCACATTTACCAAACACACTTTAAATCCTGTAAGTCTTAGTGTGATACCACATTTACCAAACACACCTTAAATCCTACTAGTCTTAGATTGATACCACATTTACTAAACACATCTTAAATTCTATAAATCTAACTGTGATGCCACATTTACCAAACACACTTTAAAACCTATAAGTCTGGAAAACAAACAATCCTCGGAAATGTTGTTAACTGTAATATATCTTTTAAAGGAATAATTTCTACCAACTTTATATTTTTGTCAACAAAAAAAAATCACTGAATGTAACTGCTAAATTAAAATACTAAATTATGACATTCTCGAACGTTATATTATTGGAAGGGATAGCTTTGGCAAAAATAAAAACTAACATTTTAGATTATTAATACCATTATAAGTATTTCTAGAAATCGAAATAGTTAAATCTGGTATTTTTGTCCCCTATTCCTCAAAGGCAATAATAAATGCACACAATAGCTTCTTTTTTGTATGTAATTTCTGATAAAAAAAAATAAACAAAAAAGTCACAATTTTTGCCTCCTAATCTTCTTTTTGTCAATATTCAAACCATTCAGAAGCGTGCGAAAAGTATAGATATGTCTAGTGTTTATGTTTGACATCAAGAGTATCCCTATGATGTCAAATTGTTTTGATGCATAAGACGATGTAACAGTTCACAGACTTTTTCATTTATGGAATTATAAGCCAAAATAATTACTAAAATGGAATTTTATACAAATATATCATGCTTACAAGGAGTATTTGCCAAAAATACCGGTTGATAGGTACAAATTTCCAGAGCCGTTAGGCGAGGGAAATTTGATTACCTCGAAACCGGTATTTTTGGCAAATACCCCTTGTAAGCATGATATAATTGTTTAATTCCACCGAATGTTCTTTGTATCCATCTTGACCTCAGAAAGTTTATTGTAATCAGGTATCATATGGAGTTTCTACTTGAATGTATAATTTTTGTATATACTGCAGCTGTGCTATTTGCGCAGTCAAATTGCATTGGTCGTAAGATGATTTCTGATCATTTTTTATGTACAGTCACTGACCGTATATATATATATCCCTGTTTATGATAAGCTAGTTCTTGGCTGACTACTACACTTTGTTCATCAGTTTGAGTGAAGCGTAATACAAGCGGATTCCAGTTTATGTTTATGACCGGTTGACAATGTGTTTCCGTTGAGTTTTATTTATGACGTCATTAAAAGTACAGGTTCGCGGAATTTTGACGTCATAAGCTCCAAATTCAATAACGATGTTTTTATCCTAAATATTTCACTTGGAACCGTATATTAAGAATGACCATAAATTTGTCCTATTAGATTAGAAATATTTCATTGGGTTATTTTCAGACATGGTATTCTCCATCTGCCATGGTATTTGCTAGCAAATACCCCGGCAGAGAAAAGAAAATCTCAATACATAGAAATTGGTGAAAAATACCATGTCTCTCATCCAATCAAAATACAGCATTATTACATAAGGTGGAATTTATTTTAATATGTGGCATTAGAATAGAGATTACTGTTTTATATTTTAAGCTTAGCCTTCTTAAAACTTGATTTTACTGTCACAAATATCCATTTACATAGCTCCGCTCTGTCCATTTGCATTTGCATTGTAAAATCTACGTCTTACGAAGGCCAAGCTTAAAGTACAATACAGTTATCACCTAATTACTCTCTTGGCACATATACTCTTTCCATTGAGAAGAAGTTCAAGTAGATTTATAGCAGTATAAATTTTGAATATTAAGGTACACTGAAATTAGTAATTGTTATATTGAATATATTAATCAGTATAATACATCTCTTCCAGGTACAGGATAATGTTTTCTAAATTCAAACAAGTCAATTTAAAGACAAAGGAAATGATAGATGTTAAAAGAAGTGTTTGTAAGTATTCTGTTAAAGAGATGATATAAAAAAATAAGGAGATGTGGTATGATTGCCAATGAGACAAGTATCCACCAAAGTTCGAATGAAGTGGATGAAAACAATTATAGGCAACTGTACGGCCTTCAATAATGAGAAAAATCCATACCATTTCTAAAATCACAAAATAACAGACAGTGCTTGTTTTCAAGAAAAATAAGGCTCAAAATTGGGAATTGTGCTTATTTCTTAGAAATATTTTGTCTACTTTCGAAAAAATGGTATTTTGTTTTAAAAATGATGAAAACGTTTTTTTTTTTACAAATGTGCATTTAGAAAAAATGAAATTACACAGCAGCAATATTATTTGTTTCAGAATTTTCATACCAAAATATGGTCAATTTATCCACTTTTGCATGGTTTGTGCATTGTAATTTTTACAATACTTTTAAACAAGTTTTCTTTCATTGTACATTTTAAATGAATTTAAAAAAGGAATAAAGAGCTGTAATAGAAAAGAAAGGATATGGGGTATCCACCCATGACACAAAATCACTACATGCTCAGCAAAAAACACACAAAAAGCGAAGGAGCAACACTTTTATTGCTATTCTTCATCTCAAAGTCACAGTGAGGCCTTCAACACAGAGCAAAAACTCTCATCTCACTGCAAGTTTAAGACTACCCCTAGCACATATTTTAAAGCAACTTCAAATATTTTTCTTCATAAAGTGTTTACCAGTTGTTGCCTAATATTTTGTAGGAATTTCAAGTTTAACTTTCAGAAAAGATAACAATGTATTCTGGTGTATTTAGAGGTCAGTGAAAAAAAGGCAGTGGCAAAATACCAAAAATAATCATCTATGTCTTTCCAAAGCAAGAAAACATTTTATTCTTTACTGTGGCTTGACTGTAAGTGTTGCTCATCACCTATTGCAACTTATTCAAAATTCTGACCAAATTACAATTTGTTTTATAAAACCAAACTGTTCAACTGGTCAAGTTGTGAAAGTGCAAGGTGATAAAAAAAAGCATACTTACAATCCTATAAGACTTTAATTCTACTTCAATGATATTTTTTAACAATTTTATACAAATTATATTGTAATTATCATGCTTAAGGTGATAGGTAGTAATTTTGAATTGCTATTATAAAAATGTCCAAACTAAGCTTTCATACAATTTTTCTTTTGAAAAGTCTTCTATATTCATAAGAATCAGGCATCATTTGAATTAAAACATCTTATATTCAGTAAAATATGTGTGAAATTACAATACCTTGTTAGGAAGTTTCCATGGGAGATAATCAATTTATCCTTTGAAAAGTCTTCTATATTCAAAAGAATAATGATTTTAGGTTATCTCCCATGGAAACTTATTGCAAGTTTGAGATGGCCCCTAGCACCGGTTTAAGAAGAATTCTTTGTAAAATAATTGGAAAAGACTTTGTCAGATGTAGCACCACCAAATCAAAAAAGAACATACTGGAAAGTATTGCATATTTAAAACCAAAATAAAAAGTTTCAATGCAAAGGTGGTAACTCAATTTCAAAATGAAAGAAAAAGATACATGGCAAAAGTCATTCTAAATGTTCATTACCTCTTAAAACAAAAGACATTATTTTCAGTGTGTTAAGTCTTATATGTTATGATGGTTTTGATGAATAGTTAGAAAATAACATTATTCACACATTTGGAAAGGCAGATTAAATTCACATTTTGAAAAAACTGTCAGAATTTTGTTCAACAAACTTGCTTTAATGAATGAGAGAACTTGGAGGCAATAAATCATTCTTTTATCATAGAACTTGGAACTTTTAGAAAAATATGAAATTGTGTGTTTTTTGCAAGAAGGTTAAATTTGAAAGAAAAAAAAAAGTAAAAGAAACTGCTTTACAATCTGTATGAAAATACTTAGATAGGAAATAACTCTTAACAATCTGAAAATATCAAATTTAAGAAAATATCTTAAAAGAAGGGGATAATACTCTTACAGTCTGTATTAAAATACTTGAAAAGATGTGGAAAAAAGTCTAACAATGTCCATGTAAATACCTACAAAGAAGGGAAATAACTCTTATAATCTGTATGATAATGCATGCAAAGAAGGGGAAATAACTCTTACAATCTGTATGATAATACATGCAAAGAAGGGGAAGTAACCCTTACAATCTACAGAAAATACATTCAAAGATGGGGAATAAACTCTTATGATCTATTAAACTCTTATGATCTATTTGAAAATGCCTGCAAAGACAGAAAATAACATTCACAATCTGAAGAAGATACAAAGATGGGAAAATAATTCTTACAATACATTATGATTGAATAATAATATATGATTTATGCAACATGAAAATTTTGAAAACATATTTCATTAATGCCAAAAATGATAAATAACAGTCATTTAGAATAGGAACATGTAAAATGAAATATTTGTATGTTAACATAAATTTGTTCTACTATATCTTAAATATTACCTTTATTTTTAAAGTAGTTTGTTATTATTACAGCTGCATCATGATGAAATAAGAAGATGTAGGAATATAACCAATGGAACAAAGATTGACTACATATAAATTGAAGGCTTTGTCAAATGTAATATTTGAGCAATAAACACTGAGATATTTTCATGTAGTGATAAGTGAAGATACAGAAATTAACCAATCTTTTACAATATTTTAATTTATATCAACACTATCCATTTTCATGATTCATAAGATTGAGAAAATGTACTGTTAGATTTGGTTGTAAAATTTATTATACTTATGCAGGAATCCCCATGGATGAAGATTTAACAATGGAGGAACTTTCACCATGACAATGGCGGGTGAAAGTTCCTCCATTGTTAAATCTTCATCCATGGAGATTCCTGCATAAGTATAATAAATTTTACATTCGACTATGGTGGCAAATAATTTAACGATGGCAGAAATCATTTGAGAATGGCGGTGCGCCATCATAAAACAGGTCATGGAGATCCCTGCTTATGGTTATATTATGTCTAAATGTGACCAAGTCTAAACAAAAAAGGACTATTTGGGACATTAATGTATAGGACTATTTGGGACATTAATGTATAGGACAAGGATGATTGTTTTAACTTTTTAATTATTTGTTATTGTTTTTTTTAAAAGGGGGCAACCGCACTGTCTAGGTATTAAAATGTTGTGATAGTCATAATCTGCATACATGCTAACGTCTCATGAGGGGTTTTAAGGGGACCTGATGCATCTGTTTTACATGTAAAAAGTGTTTTTAATCTAATATACTATGGTTTTCAATGAGTATATATATATGTGATAAAATGCTTTTTGAACTCACTAGAAAGCCTGTTTTGAGGTAAACAGTTAAATTAATGGAGGTTTTCAATAGTTGGTTTATAACTTCTCATAGGGAAAATTCCCCATAAATCAGGAAATTTGGCAGGTTTGCATGATCTGGCATCTAGTGTCTGTAGTCTACCATTGTCTTCTTCTAAGATATTCTCTGAAATTTGAGCCAATTAGCATCATTCTTGGGGTTATCTTTAAAAGTTATGACTCCGCCATTTCTTTAAATATAAATTATATAAAAAATGAATAAAACATTTTGAGTTTGAGTTGAATAATACAATAATTATCCTCTTTAACTTTGGAGGTCGACGAACAATCAGTCTTCAAACATGGCTACCAATAATATCAATAGCGAAGAATTTTTCTAATATCACTATTTCTTCAAAAGTCTGGGCTGAAACCACTGGACCTTTTGAACCATACTTGAAAAAAAATAATGTAAAGAAAATGAAGGGTTATTATACAAATATATCATGCTTAAAAGGGGTATTTGCCAAAAATACCGGTTGAGAGGTACAAATTTCTAGAGCCTTTAGGCGAGGGAAATTTGATTACCTCGAAACCGGTATTTTTGGCAAATACCCCTTGTAAGCATGATATAATTGTTTAATTTCACCGAATGTTCTTTGTATCCATCTTGACCTCAGAAAGTTTATTGTAATCAGGTATCATATGGAGTTTCTACTTGAACGTATAATTTTTTGTATATACTGCAGCTGTGCTATTTGCGCAGTCAAATTGCATTGGCCGTAAAATCATTTCTGATCATTTTTTATGTACAGTCACTGACTGTATATATATATATATATATATCCCTGTTTATGATAAGCTGGTTCTTGACTGACTACTACACTTTGTTCATCAGTTTGAGTGAAGTGTAATACAAGCGGATTCCAGTTTATGTTTATGACCGTTTGACAATGTGTTTCCGTTGAGTTTTATTAATGACGTCATTAAAAGTACAGGTTCGCGGAATTTTGACGTCATTCGCTCCAAATTCAATAACGATGTTTTTTATCCTAAATATTTCACTTGAAACCGTATATTAAGAATGACCATAAATTTGTCCTATTTGATTAGAAATAATTCATTGGATTATTTTTAGACATGGTATTCCCCATCTGTCATGGTATTTGCTAGCAAATACCCTGGCACATGAAATACCCTAATGACAAATACCCCGGCAGAGAAAAGAAAATCTCAATACATAGAAATTGGTGAAAAATACCATGTCTCTCATCCAATCAAAATACAGCATTATTACATAAGGTGGAATTATGTGTAATAATTTATGATACAAAATTCATACACAAACTCTAGCATTTGCTCACACCTTCTTAAACTTCAAGACAGCACTGATTTGAGCAGAAGTTTTTGTAAAATGTTGATAACACTACATTTTTGTTTTGAAACACAAATAGGGTATCTGGATGCATCATCCCCATATATTTCTATATTCACAGTTTGATGAAGACCCCAATGTCATTAAACATAGCTATAATACTGTTAATTCATTTATTTTTGTTTGTATCAATTTATTAAAAAAGCTATTGCTTTTCCAAGGATACCGGATTTTATGGTTTCATCATTTGCTTCTTGAAAGTAACTAAATATTTGTTTCATTTGTTTTCATTTGTTTTCATCAAGTATGTTCATTCATGATCCCCCCTTTTCACATAGGTATCCTATAGATACTTATAAATCTACAATATTTTGTCAAAAAAACTGTACAGTTTGGTATAAAGTAAAACCAATCAAGAAGGATATTCTGAAAAATCAGCTAACTTATTTCTTTTGAACTTGTAAAGGTTGAATCTGTTAAATGGGATTGGACAATATTCATTTTTCATTTCAATTGAGAGTGGCCATTGTTGATAATAGACATATATTAAGGTGAGCGATAGGGGACTCGTTAGACCTTTTAGTTGAGTTTCTGTTGAATAAATGTATAAGCTTAAGCATCACTGAATGTAACCATGTATCATATTGTGATTTCCTGTCCAGTTCATTGTATAGGTATATATACCTACCTAATGAACTTATTGGTTTGGATGGCTTAGATCGTTTTCGTACACAATGTTCTTATGACTTAATATGAAAGCAGTGGCAAAAAGGTGTAGATAACTCTGTGTTTTAATTATATTTATTACTTGTGATGTTACCTTGTTTTGTTGGAGAAACAAAAACTGAGGAGTAGAAATGTTACGAGTAGAATCACATTTTATAAGTTATATTCAATGCATAAGTTAAAATTCAAATAGATAACCATATAAAAGCACACATTTTAAGCATAATATTGAGGAAGAACGTTTTTCTTTGATTCAACATGATGATGAATTAAGGTATAGAAATAAATATAATGTCACCAAAGAGAAGAAAATACAGACAATTACTAGAATGACAATAATGGCAACTGTTTATGTTTGTTTTTAAATAAAAATTGTTACAAAGTAAATTTTGTTAGATTTACACAACTGAAAATATGGGAAGAAAAGTCTCCACTGTGTCTATTAAATCTGTCTTTAGAACTGTTTCAAACAAATATACCCTTTTACATGGATTTCTTGTCAAGTAAATGTAAATTACTTTTCAAGATTGATTTCACTACGATCATCAGGATCATATACCTCTTCACGTGTTTCAGCACTTATATACATTTTTGGGTTAAAGGTGTTTGGTTGTGAGTGTTCCTGATGAAATTAAATACAGAAAAGCGCTTCGGACGTATACAATTTATAAAGTGTTATTTCCAGTTTCATTCAGGATTCCTATTTCCTGGACATTTTTCTGAGTTTTTTTGGAGACGGTGAATTTGTTACGTTTTTTTATCTTGTAGAAGACTACTGACTGAAAAAAAACAAATCATTGAGGGAAATGACTGAAAAAAAACCCAAATCATTGAGGGAAATGACTGAAAAAATAAATCATTGAGGGAAATGACTGAAAGAATAAATCATTGAGGGAAATGACTGAAAGAGTAAATCATTGAGGGAAATGACTGAAAAAATAAATCATTGAGGGAAATGACTGAAAAAACAAATCATTGAGGTAAATGACTGAAAAAAAAAAACAAATCATTGAGGGAAATGACTTAAAGAATAAATCATTGAGGGAAATGACTGAAAAAATAAATCATTGAGGGAAATGACTGAAAGAATAAATTATTGAGGGAAATGACTGAAAAAACAAATCATTGAGGGAAATGACTGAAAAAACAAATCATTGAGGGAAATGACTGAAAAAATAAAGATTTTGCTGCATGTTTTTCTTCTCGTTTAAAGCTTCTGATTTAAATGATATTTCATTTGAGTACAAAAGCAAGTCGGCAAGCAGGGGTGCAGAGTTATAACTAAATAATTTTAATCCAACAAACTTGAGAATCACGTTTATCTCAATAATATTATTTAAGTATAACACCGATTTTAGTGTGAACAATACATTTTCATTGGCATTCCCCTAACTGTCATGACCGAGATTAAACATCGGAGGAAATTGTTACCTAAATTCAATTTGTAAGATATTCTTTAGTCATGTTCCTATTCTTTCCCTGTTCTTGAACATGTTTTTCCATTTATAATCATTTTTCTGTGCTATGTGTTTAGTACATTATGCTATTCCTAAAGTTCTGGCTAAAAAGACATGTCTCGGAATGTTTTGTTTAATCAAATTAAGCAGAAATTCAATATTGTTGTGCATGGCCATTCGCTAGAAGTTTGGAGGGAAAAAATATGTCCTGCATAATCAGTGGATAAAAATTTTAAGAATCAGAGTAATATATTTTAATGAATGTAACCATAAAATTGAAAGATAAATTTATAAAATGTCAACATAATACAGGAATAAAAGCTTACTTAATAGTATTTTAGGACGATTGCTACTGTCAATCGTTCGTTCTACTTACTACTCTCTGATTTAAGGTAGCACAATACAAAAGCAACTAAATTTTATCAAAATTACATTTTCGGCTGTTTTTGTTACTTCTTAATATTCAAAAACCACAGAAGAAAAAAATATTTACATATCTTGCAGTGTTAATGAGTTTTGATGATAATTAGTTTTATAAACAAATGCACGTGTCTGACTGATACAAGATAAGAACATGTGGGCAGTACTATGTGGTTAATCAATACAATCATTTGATAGCTTTACAACCACTGACCAGCAATTAAAATAACAGTTATGAAAAAGAGGTGGATTAGGGATTTATGGAAAAATGAAAGATAATGAATTCCAAATAAAAATACATTTCTGTATTGGAGATGTCAGGAGAAAAATCAAAACAACTATTCGGAGCTAAAGAGGGAATCAAAATATAAATGTACAGATATTAAACAAATATAATTGTACAACGATAAATGTTGCTGATGTTTAGACTAGAATTTCTTGAGGAGAATGTTTAAATATGAATTCTTTTAAAAAGAAAATACAAATTAAATACTTCATTATCAAACTGCAAAAATGAAAAAAAATCTACTTTGTGTAAAACACCATATTGTCATTGTATACAATTATAATTCTACAAATCCCCCATAAGGATCCTCTAGACTGACCAACTGATCATTTTGTGAACACATGCATAACTTACTTTTTGTAACAATGCAAAAAACAAAATATATCATTTTATGTACTAAAAGAATAAAATCCATATTGAAAAAAGTAAATGCAATGTGTAATTAAACTTCTGAGATCATTAATAGTAAAGGTTTATCATGGTGGGCGGAGTTTTGACCATATCAGTAGCAACTGACTTACAATAATGATATAAAATCTCCCGCCAGATCTGATTGTTGATGCATAGGGTGTGCATTTTCTTTATATATTTAGAATTGCTGAATTGGAATGCTTTCTTACTGGTCAAAACCTAATTGATTTATGATTAAAGGCCAATCCTGAAGTATTCTCATGATACATGTGTGAATTATATTGAAGTTAAAGGGGTACAAGTAGGAAAATCCTTATTTATTCAATTGTGACACATTCATTTTTAGTCATGAAAATGTAGTGTTAAATGAAATTAGCTCCTAGATGGGTGCCTCTATATGCTTGATTTTCACACATGTTGTTACTTGACCAGTTATCTTCAAAAGGGTGTCTCAGATTTCCAAAAACATCAATAGAACAAATGTTATACCCATATCTCTTATGAATTGAGGTTGCAAACTTCATTGAAGGTTTATGAGAGAATGAAATACAATAGGAAAAATCTGAGACACCCTTTTAGAGGTCAAACTGTGTTGCACAAGAATCTATAAAATATTTTGGGATGGTATGAATAACAAAGAAGCTAATTTCATTCAAGTGTGGACATCACAATATAGCAACTAATTACATAATAATTAATTATGTAATAATCATGTCATAATGAAATAATCACAATTTGAAAGATTAATCTTTCTTCTTTCTTTTGGTACCTCATTTATAAAATTTAAAGCTGGATAAAAGAAATTACAACAGTTTAAAGTCTTCTGATTGGGGGTGAAAAATCTTTGTATTGTGCTACCTTAAGAACTTCGAAAAGCAGTACTGCTATTCCTCTTCTTATCTGTACCAATATTAACGTGCTAGGACTTCTCGTAGTTTTTCCCAAAACACTGTGTTGCCATATTCATCATTCGGATACTCAATGTAAGACTGATCCTGTACAAGTTCTAGAATGTGAAGTGGTAGCTGCCCAGGTCTAATTTGTTCCAAGAAAATCATGAATAAAGTATTCTCTTTTTCTCTGGAATAAATACTTTCCATTCTTGCCATGTTGTATTCGAACATGCACCAGTACGATTCTAGAAAATGACATGACATAACTATGATAACTTTACGACTAACATGAATAGATGACGTAATATTAGCCGCAATATCGTTTCCTGGGATAAAGTCTCTTTTATGGATGCACACGTGTAGTCCTCCTTCATCTTCAAGTTTATGTAGAAGATTATTGTGGACAAAATTTGAGTCATTTTCTGCGTAGGAAATGAATGCATCGTATTCATATTCACGACTATCGGTATGAATTGGTGTTTTTATTGTTCCTTGATATTTACTTTTGATTATATAGTATAGATAGCGTATTTTCCACCTGTGTCTATATATCAAACCGCTAAGAATTATAGAACCAAAGAAGGCGATGGTTATAACAGATCCTATAATTACAACTGTGTATGATGAACACTCCTTTTTAAGCTTATCATATATAAGTTGAGCTTCAACCAGATTAATTATGGTTTTGTTTTTAAGATAGCAGCTTGTTAAATGTAAATTGTCAAGAAATGGATGATATATTGAAACCCATTGAACGAAATCGACATTGTCACAAGTGCATCGAAAACTATTCTCGCTTATATCAACTTTAAGACTCTTATTTTGTTTGAATTTTTCTTGCAGCTGATCCCGAAAACATTTAGGCAGAGATGACAGTCTATTTTTTGAAATATCAAGGTACATCAAGTTGTCCATATGACTTAAATCAAATGTGATATTATCTAACATGTTATTACTAATAGTCAACTTGCGTAGCAATCTCTGTTGTTTGAAAAACATCGATGGAAGCAGTTGGATTCTATTAAACGACAAGTCAATTTCTTCAAGTTTGTTAACATCTCGTAGAATTTCGCCATTGATATCTTTTGGCAAAACAAAGCCAAGTAAATTATTTTGAATGTAAAGGTATTTTAGATTTCGAAGTCCCAAGAAAAAAATCTTTGATATGTTGGAACAGAAATTGTTCGACATATTTGCATACTCAAGGTTGATTAACGACTTCAGAGGTCCAGTCCAAGAGTGAAGTATGTTTGAGCTAGCGTCAATATGTTTCAACTTATTGCTTGAAACAAAAACAAGAGGAATTTCATATCGTAAATTACAACCTCTATAAATAAACTTAGTCGCATTCGGCGGAACCGCTATAGGTAATACATCTGAAAAAATGTTATGTTCTTCCGACGGCGGATGAATGTAAAATTCTGATAAACTTTGATGCCTCTCTCTTGATTTGAAACATCTTTCTTCAACAAAATCACATATTTCTTGTTTTTCGGTGGGATTATGTGCTGAAAACAAATTTGATAAATTTGCAAAATGTATCGGAATCTTTAAGATTTCTTCATTATAGCCCGCGAAAGAAAATTCATTGTCTCCCGCAAAAATATTTCGCATCGTGTTTGGGAAATACAATAGCGCTCCAGGTTCAGCAAACTGTATTCTATTACCTTCAATATATAAAGTTTCTAGGGTTGTATTTTTGAGATTATGAAAATGTTTAATTGTTATTGCTGTATTCAGTTCGAAAGCTTGATGTACTTTGTTGATATTCAAAGTTTTGATTGATGTAAACGGAAGATCAAACGTAATATTTTCGAAACCTGCAAACTTTAAACATCGATTCAACGACACATCCAGATCGTATAAATTGGTTAATTTACGAAACGTTCCTTTATGAATATAATTAATAGAACATGCCGA